CCTGCCAATGTACAGACCACATTTTACCATGATGACACACACACACACACACACACACACACACACACACACATAGACTCACAAAATGAAAACAATACCAGCCATATTCTGTCTTGTCAGGTAACAAGTTGTTGACATTAATGTAAAGAAAGTAAGTCACCAACAATTTTGGTAATTGATTAATGGATGAAGTCATTCATTGATCACAGTGCTGTATGTAATCAAATTGATAACATTAGTTTGTTTATTTACTTCCATTGTTTGGTGTGTATATTCAGATTGTGTGGTTCACACTATTCACACAGTTATTTCCAGTATCTTTATTCATTTATGTTCAGTTCCACAAATAACCCCAGCTCCAAGTTTCTTAGTTAAATCCCACTATTTCTTTTCTTCACACTGCGTCATAGTTGTGAAGTTCACACTTACCCGAAGTTAATCCACACACACTAGCCAATCAGAATCGAGAATTTTCAGATGATGTTTTGAAGATGTTACATTGAGATCTGATAACATAAGCAACATCCAAGACAATAAGTAAAACATGAAATTGTGCTTTCTTTTTAAATGGCGATAGTTTCCTGTTGTAATTTGTTCACACATCACATTATCCTCTGTATGCAATATATACTATATATATATATATTAACAGGTAATAAATACTGGTTGGTAATGGTTTTAGTATGTAATTTGGAAGTGAGACACAGCTTAAATGGAAGGGTAATAGGGAGGAATCGGCTGAAAAGATACTTATAATGTACTGACAGAACTTTAATAATGTCTGTAAAGTCATCTCCGATCAAATACCATCACGGTTTACACTGAGAGTAAAACTTCATGATGAATCAACAGCCCACTGGTTGAATCAAATGCAGGAGCAGAATTTGGTTTCAGGACCATGGACAGCATCAGAGACAAACGTGTCTACATGTCATGTGAATGAGAGCTTCTTCTGTATTCAGTCAGATCTCATAATTACAGCGGCATTATCACGTCAGTGTGAACACTTAGCAAGACTCGGAGGCCTTTTTGTTGACCTTCAGAGAAATGGTTCTTTACACATTTACATCCTGTCATTCTGTTGGTCTAGAGGTTGCATTGATTGTCCCTTCCTACAGTATGCAGCTATGTAAAAAGAGAAGTCCCTCACCTGACATCTAAGTCAAGTCCATACCTGACATAGACAGGGCAGGGGCGTGGTTAGAAATCTTTGAAATGGGGGGGTCAGATCGGGTCACAGATTCAAAAAAGGGGCGGCACATTTGCAAAATGAGTAAAAATGTATTAAGACTCACATTTAAAGGTGCTGTTATTGGCAATAATAATAATAATTATAATTAATCAGTGTAATAAGTGAACAACCATAAACATTCTAATATGAAATAATACCAATAAATTGCTGTTTGAGACAAAAGGCCCTTCTACACAGGAGCAAGACCCCAGTTCAAAATGGTGACAGATGATAGGCTAAATTTCATTATTGCAGTTCATGGACATTAGTCATTAGTCTTGCAACGCATTTTCAAACAAATCAATTATATTATGCAAATGAGAACAACACTCACCACTTGTTCAGTGGTGCTGGGTCTCTCTCTGTTTACATGTGAGTGGAGGAGGGGTGGGCGGTGCTTTTGAAAGAAGTGTTTGGGTGAGTGGGTGGAAGGACAGATGTCCCTGTGTGTGGTTGTGTGTGTATATGTGTGTTTGTGTGTGTGTGTGTGTGTGTGTGTGTGTTTGTATTAGCTAGAGTAATTTTCAGCCACTGCTGCTGTCAGCGATCACTCTGAGACACTGCAGATGAATTCAGCCACCTATGAGTGCAGGGCATCAGGACACACAGGGACCAATGAACCGGCCGAGAACACTGGTTCATGGGATTAATTAGTGAACTTTGCCAGGTGCTTAATGACGCTGGCAGGGGGCTTTTTAGTAGCTCTCTACCCCCTTTTTAAAGTAAATATATTCAAAATGGAAACCCGAGTTAGGCTATGGATGAAGGGAGTTGATTGTCACTCTGTAATTTTCGGCCTGACAACCTTGTAAGTGCGAGAGGCGTAGGTGTGCCGGTGACAAGGAGCTTGCTTTTCAGCTGTCAGCACCACAATGCTTGTCACTAGATGTTTCCCTCCAATCAAAATCACATTATTCAAATCTTTGGAAATGTCAACAGAGCAAACCTCAAACTTTTGATACTTTATGCTTTTAATTCACTCTGAACCTCCGGCAGCGCTGTGAGCCATGTGACAGAGCAGGAGGAGAACGTATGGGTCGGGAAATAATGACATAACCATGCTCGTGGCTGTGGAAAATTTTGACCTCGATTCGGACTCTGTGGATGTCAGAGAGGGTCCGACTGGGGTCAGGACAGCACAGTCCTGTACTGTACTGAAGGCTATGGGACAGTGACCCACTCTGCACACCCACAATTTTCACACAGGCACCATTCAAATGCTGGACGTTGTACTGATTGGCCCATTCTCAAGATCGAAAGACTTCCTTTCAATTGCGTGATAATCCGAGGTCAGTTTGGCACCAAGGGGCTGATAGTAAGGAGTCCCCAGTCTCTACTTGTACAGCTGTGGAGATGGACAAACTGTTTTATGGGTAGAGTGAATGTCATGTTGCCAGTAATGACATTTTTGCAAGCAGAAAAAGGATTGTGTTGGGAAAACTTCAAATTACCCCAGTTTAACATTATATCATTGCATTGACTGAAATCCAGTTGTGAAACATCTGTCCCTGTAGTTTCATGGCAGTAAACCGGTGGTAACTATGGCAACACATCGGTGGTATGTGTTCTCCTGTTAGCACATCAGGCGTGTCACATAAATTCAATTCATACTTTTTAATATTTCTATTAAAACCCTGTGTTCAGTTGCCATTTATTCAGTGATAGCTATTAAACATTATTCCTCTCATTAGTTCGCTCCAGGGCCTTACAGGAAGAGATGCATACGGCCATTTGTCCACATAATGACATAATTCAAAAGAACAGAACAGCTCGTCCCAGGCGTTTTGAAGACGAAACATATTTCTGTCAGTGTGGTGAATCTTTTCATATAAACAAACACAGAAGTTTCTAGACTTCTTCTGTTGTACTGTTGACAGAGTCACTGTTCAAAGTGCATTTTCCAGCCCCCACAGATCCATAACCGCATTTTCGAACAGAACTCAGGTTCCTGGATTATTAAGACGTTCTTGGCATTAACGCTGTGGCTCAGGGAGGTGGAGCAGGTCGTCCGCTGATCGGAAGGTTGGTCGATTTGTCCCTGGGCAAGATACTGAACCCGCGATGTGCGAATATCTGTGTAAGTTGTATGTGTAGGAAAAAGTGCTGTGTGAATGTGTGTGTGAAAGGGTGAATGCGGCTTCCATTGTAAAGCACTTTGAGTGGTTGATAAGACGAGAAAAGCTCTATATAAGTAAGTGTAGTCCATCTACCAGTGTCACCTAATCAACCAGAACTGAGATCGTAAGGTCAACCTGTGCTCCAGATTTTTATTCTTTCAATGTTTCACTGTTTTCAGTCCTGTTTGAATAACATGACACTTTCTGCTGCTTTCATTAAATATATTTGGTATAATCAATAACACATTTCAAATGTTGGCTCATTATTTGTATGCACATGGAGTCAGAACATGTCCACTTCACATTATGATATTGACACATTTCCTTATTTTACAATGAGAGGGCAAAGACATCATACCTTTGTTTACTTGCTTGCTACCCCCTATACACTAAACTGTTTACTGCATAGTGAGCAGTGAACTGAGATTTGGACACTTTTCCATCTTTATTAATCTTTGCATCTATACATTGAATTGTGGAATAACAAAAAATAACAACAAATAGTGTCCAGGCCATGAACACTACTGTCTCTGTTCAAATGTTGGAATATTTTAGCACACTATATGTTGCAGAAATTTCACTCTGACTTCAGATACTCAAATTAATGGCTGCAGTACATGTATATGATAAATATATATATATATAGTAAATAGTGAGTGATTTCGATTTGTTTATTGTCAGATTTCAGTCAGGAAAGGGAGGTAAATATTTGTCTGTCTGGAGGCTTATGGATCTCTGTGATGGTGTTCATGATGAAGTGAAAGTTTTTAGAGCCATTAAGGTTAGAGCTTGGTAAAATATCTCCAAAATTGAATTAGGATTGTGTGACTGTACAAACATAGAGGAGGACATGACTGAAACAAGCCATGTCTGCCCACTGCAACCTCTCCTTGGACAACAGTGAAAAGAAAGTACACACACAGCATTTTGACCAGTCTTTCTCCGGCAGGCTTAAGAGGAGATCTGAGATGATAAAACACAGATGTGCTCTCACCATTTAACATCAAGAGCCACCATAACTCCAAAGCCCATGCTCATATTTCAGACAACAATGTGTTTTTGGAAGATTCATGTGATGGAAAAAAAAAAAGAAAAAAGAAAAAACCATGTTATGGTTATGAAGATGGAAGGGGCTACAGTTTCCCGGTGGAGGGAGCAACAGTCGGAGTGTGGAAATGGTCGGATGTTGCTTGTTTTCCAATAGCCGCAGTTTCACTGCTTGTTTCTTGCAAATCATGTTGCACAAACAAGCTTGATTAACTTGATATCTCAGGAAATTGAATAATAGCTGGGCTCATGGTTCACTGCAGAGAGGAAATAAGTTCTGTGATTGTGCTGCCAGGTTGTTCGTGCACTGCTCTTCCTTCACTGCCAAAGTGGGTTCATGAGTTTGTGACAGAGGAAAATACAGCAGACAATTCCACTTTAGTGTAGAGTTCTGAGCTCAGCAGACTGTTTGTGACCAGTGGAAAATATGTTTTGGAATCTGTGATTTGATGTGCTGGTCAGTGTGGTGGAGGTCATTGATGTCATCCTGTCTGATTCCAGTTGTGTGTATGCTGTGCTGACTGTTCTCCATTTTGTCTTTCTGTTGTGTTTTATTCAGGTTCATCTTGGTCTTCAGCTGCCTGGTGCTCTCAGTGTTCTCAACCATCCCGGCTCATCAGGACTTCTCCTCCCACTGTCTCCTCATCCTGGTAAGAAACTGGGCAACCACCAAAATAATGTTTTTAAATTTTGCCTTATTCCCTATATTCTTTATTTAATTACCAAGACATTCACACCACGGCCTCACCATAAAACCCAGATAGTGAAATGAAATTTTCTGGCCAAACATATCCCTTCTTCGGCCCGAGTCCGGCTGTGTGTCCACGAGAATTGGTCCAGATTCAGAAGTAGCATCTTACAATCATGCTTACAATCATATGGGCCAGATACGGGCCGTGGAACCAAGCGTATACTGGGCCAGAAGAAAACAAGCATGTGGCCCAAGTACAGGCTGGATTTATTTGCTATTCGGCAATTACCTGCGCAGGTACAATGGCCAATACTTTCTTATTGCAGATATATTAGTATCAGTGAATATGTAATTAGTATGTGAATATGTGCTCCTGGTCAATATATTAGTATTTGTACAGGCTCTACCTCAAACACATCAATTTTAATATCATACTGTTGGTCCTCACTACACTGTTTAAGTAAACCTAACTGTCACACACAGTGATTATCTAAATGCTTTCTAATAATGACATTGTGTGATTTAACATTTTTTTCTTCTGAGGTTATGGCGTTCACAGTGTGACCTCATTGGATGTGATTCAATTCTTATGATACAGTATGATCATATTTTTGCAGGCACAATGTTGGACCACTTCCTGTCCCTAACACACACCACACACAGCATGACGCGTTTTCCTCTGGTCTCATATTAATCAGGGTTGCAGTCATGACTTTAGAAATACAGAATTCATTGAGTAAGTTTTTTCTTTTTCTCTTTCTTTCTTTCTTTCTTTCTTTCTTTCTTTGGTCCAACTGTAATTCAAATTAAACAAAATGATTAAACAATGTTGCACTCAGCCTGTAAAAGCTCGTAAGTTTTAATTGCAGAATATTAACTCTTACAACATAGTGATCCATTAAATTTGGTTATTAAGAATTGTGACCATTATTAGGAATATTAAGCATTATCACTGGGTGGAAAGACTCTGTAATGGAGACACAGTGGAGAGTTGTGCAGTTGTGCTTTCAGCCGAATGCTAACATCATAGATGCGACCATGCTGAAAATGACAATGCTAACATGTAGATGTTTAGCAAGTATGTTTACTATGTTCACTATCTTAGTTCGTTAGCATACTGCTATTTGCCATTTAGCACTAAACACAATGTACAGCTGAGGATGATGGGAATGTTATTAGTTTTGCAGATACCACATTTCATAGCAATCCATCCAATAGCTGTTGAGTTATTTGAATTGACCAGAGAGGTTGACCTCATGGTAGTGAGGTAACCATAGTCAGTAGAAGTCCCGGGACCATTGATGTCTTCATGTTTCATGACGATCCAATCAGTATTTCAGTTTGGACCAAAGTGGTGGATGAACTGACCGACTGACCATGTGACTAGCGTGGCAAAAAAGTTTGTGTGTGAGTTTGTCCATGACAAACCCTCAGGACCATCAAGAGAGTTCTTGGGTGCGACCTCAGGACAAAAGAATAAATCACAGAAGAAGACTTCAAGGCCATCAGCGGCTGATTTGTTTAGTGTCGGCTCCCAAACTAGTAACTTTACTCAGGAAGGACAGATTGAGCTGCCAGTGGGCACAGGAGCAAAAAGGCTCTTCAAAAGACTCTAAGTATGACTCAACATGTTTTTCAAACGCCTCTAACTGAAAGAAGAGGTCACTCTCTTCACTGATTATTATTACTGCAGCTGTAGCCGCCATTTCACAAATTGCGTTGCGCTAATTGCAGTACAGTGTTGATATCTAATGGAAGCTGAATCACCGTGTGTGCATTAACAGGCGGCCTGTTTGCATTAATGATGTATGATGATATATGCTGATGTATTTAATGATGTTCTAAACTAATCTATGATAACTGTTCAACCACATTAGTGTCCTCTGTTGCCATCACAGCTATTGTTTCTGTGTTTTTGAACAGGAGTTTGTGATGATTGTGGTGTTTGGGTTGGAGTACATCATCCGTATCTGGTCGGCAGGATGCTGCTGTCGCTACAGAGGATGGCAGGGACGACTGCGCTTCGCCAGAAAGCCCTTTTGTGTCATAGGTGAGTTGTTGGAGCAAAACTTTCTATTGAGTCTCCTTTGTGGACACAGACTCTAATAAATCCCTTCATAAAAGTAATATTTTCCAGCAGCAGTATCATTTCTCCTCCTTCACCGTTTCACCTTTCAGTTGCCCGCCGCTTGCCCTCTAGTGGACTGTGGTTGTCGCAATTTGATGTCAGACGTAAGCGCGGTTCCACAGCACGCTATTGACCAGGGTTTGCTCGTGTCATTTTCAGTTGTGGTCGGAGCTCATAAGAGCAGCGAGCATTTACGTAATGAGGTTGCATTAACTGCCTTTTATTCTTTCCACTGTTTAGACATGGATCTCTCTCTGCTGCTTCTTGGAAAGTAGAGTAGGGTGCTTGAGGGAGGGAGAGCAGGGCTGAGAGGTTGCGCAGGGTGCCATGAGCTCCCGTCGTCACACTTTGTAGTGGGTTGCTGTTGGTTGCCAGTTCTGAGGGCATGTGAGCAAAACAAAGGGGTGAAAATGAAGAGAGACAGAGAGAGAGAGAGAGAGTGTGTGTGTGTGTGTGTATGATGTGATGATGGGATAAAGTGAGAAAATGAAAGAGAAAATGAGCTGAACTCAGAGCACCTGAGCAGTAGAGAGACAGACGGAGGGGATGCAGGTTCATTCGATGATCTGTCCTATGATGCATTTGTGGCTTTGAGAGGTAAAACTAATTAAGAAATTAGGTGTATCGTTTAGTTTTCTCCGTACTCTCATTTGCAGAGAGGAACCCTGTCACTGTGCTGCCACTGTGTGAATGTTTCTAAGGTTTCTGTGTTTGAAGATAAATCCGTGTTGGTTGGAGGGTTAGAGGTGAGTCATTCTGTCCCCAACAGAATTTGTTCATTAAAGAAGCTCATGAAGTAGTTACCACTGAGAGCTATAGGAATACATGGATCAGTAGAGCTCTGACTCTGTCAGCCTGACTACAGTGCTGAAAAGCAACAAGGGGTCTTTTTTATTTCCAGAGGGCCTTCCTGTATGTTTTAAGACCACCTTGCCAGACTGACTGAGCTTCCTCCTTATTAGTGAAACGCCATTTCCTCTCAGCTTTTTGCAACGTTTGCCTGAGTTTGTGAGTTATACCATAGAGCTAAGTTGATCTCCTTTGTTTTATTATCTTCTTTTTTTATAGAGTTGAGTGTCATTCGCTTTGACCGTGCAGCACCATCAACAAGATGATGAATTTGGGAGGGCCTAAAGTTAGCAGAGGAGTCAACTGTTATATTGAGACATGGCACTGAATTAAACGCTGATGGAATCACTTCTTTAAATGGGCGAGGGTGTGGTTAAAACAGCTGGTGGGTTCATTTACACTCTGAGAGAAGCTAGTTGAGTCTAATAATAAGATAAACATGGTGTGAAGGCTATCATTATTGACATCCACATGAATATCACAATTACCGACTATAATGTCTGTGTTTATACTAAGAACCAATTTCGATTTAAAAAAAAAAAAAAAAAAAAAAATCACATAAAAATTACAAGTACAAGCCATGGGTGCGGTACACTACAACAAATAAAACTGGCTGTAGTACTTTCCACTTCCAGTGTGAAGGTCTATGTACAAGGCTTTGCATTCACATTAGGTTCAGGTTTAGTATGGATTAATGAGCTTGAGTCTAAAATGGCTGCGACTCCACCTCCCTGGCCAGTGCCTCAAGGAATGTGAGTATTAATATGACTGAGAGGGGGGATTAATTTAGACTAGCATAGTAAACATGATACTGTTCAGTAAGACTGTATAAATCAATATGATGATCTGATATTAGATCGTTTACATATATATATCTTTGGATGACGGAGGTCTAATGAGTCCACATTTAATTCTCTTATTTTGTTGTACTATTCCAGTGGTGGTTTTCATTTTTATTAGCTTTTTATGTAGAGCTCCTCTTCTTTTTTTGCTTTTGATTGAATTCATTTAAGTGGTCGGGGGCCAGACACAGTCTCTCTGGGGTGTTGGCTGGGTGACTGATCCAATGGATGTGCAGAGAAGCACGTAGGATTTCAATTCTACCTCCTGCTCTCAACTGTCACGGTTTTGGTCTACTTATAAACTCGGTCAGATTCGTGAGAGCTGCTCCATCCAGCGTGGGTTACATGCCAGCTCTTCTAATCAGACCAGGTCTTCCCCAGAAACTCCTCCTGTTATCAATATTTGCTGGACAACACCTAGACAGCTAGAAGTTGAATGACAACATGTGACTATTACATGTCATCACAGTGCAGATAGAGGAGTAACATGTGTGATTTCTTACTGACAGACTGACTTGAATTTGGCTCCAGAAAATTACAGCGTTGTAGTGAAAACAATAACTGAGTAAATACTAAAGAGGATTTAACACTCTTCGTACTTCAGTGAGCCCTTTCAGTCATAATGTGTTTCCACTGTGGAGCTAAACATTTCTTCCCTGGACCCTCTTACTGCTGTACATCCCATTACTCTGGTAGGAAAGCTAATCTCAAATTAAAATCAAAAAATGTTATTGCTAATAAAAAGAGCAAAACCTCTGAGAGTCATCTTAACTTATTTGAGTGTAATCTCATTTTTATGAATAATATCAATTTAGTGTGAAAGCTCAATCTTGGATTTGTGAGCAGTACATGTGACAAAATAATCCCCATAACTCAAGGTCCACGCATGAGATTTGTCTGTGCTTTCAACTACATCTCCTGGTCTTCATCAGCAAATTGATGAAATTAGATGATCACTGAATTACCTATACATTCCACATGTAAGTGAGTCAACACCTGAGCCAGCTTCATTCACTGGTGAAGACCGTGAGATGTGGTTGAAAGCTCTTCATGATCACTTCCTAACTTCTCATCAACAACAGTAAGACACAGTCTGTATCCAGTGATCAGCATTTCACTACAACCCTTGGTGTGCGTTACTTTTCCACAATTACAGTATCATGACAACTGGTAACCTCACCTCTTACTTTATATATTAGTACTGTTTGATCTATGAGCCATAATGAGGCGCTCCCCTGGTTCACCTGCAGAATCTCTAAAATGATACTGAACTCTTAAAGCCAACATTGTGCTTTACTGTGAATCTGTTTTCTGTTGGAGCTGCCCCTGGCACAGATGATTGTACCCAAAAGTTAAATCATTCAGCTAACTCATCAGTGGAATTGTTCAAATGGATTTTTTTCATATGTTTTGCTGTTATCATCACACCAGATGGAAACTCTGTTAAAAAGTTTATTTGTGGCAGCGGGTGTCCTCAATTACTGGTTATCAAAGATGCCTGTGAACAACTTGGCTGGAATAGTGCAGAGTCATATTAGTGCCAGAATAATGCTCGCCAAGGGTAAGAGTTTGCTGCTTCTGTGAAAACTCCTTGTGTGCTCATTACATGCAGAATTTTAACACTAAGCTAAAATGTAAAGCGTAGCGTAGTGTAAGTGTAGTTTCCTATACAAGTGTGTAAACATATGTACGAGTCAGAGAGTGACAAGAATGAACTTAAATTAAAACTGAAATGTGAGTGGAATGAAGTTATTTGTCCGCTGGAGTCATTTAAAGCTCATTAAGGCAAAAATCCTTCTATGAGGACAGAGACGTCACTGACATCAAGGTTCTAATGGTACGGTCACAATGGATTTCGCTCCCCATTCATTTCAATGAAAAGGTTTGCTCGCAGCTGCAAACCCACCTCCTCCACCCTCTATTATTATTATTATTATCATTATCATTATCATTATTATCGTTATTATTATTATTAGGGCTAATTGATAATTATTTAATCGAGTGCAATATCCAAATCACAGAAGCTTCATCTTTTTTTTATTTGATGAAGGTTAAAATGTGTCACAACATTGTTGTCTATTGTTAGCACCATAAGCTTTGTGGTGCTGCAGAGACGCCCCAGCCTACAGATCATATTCTCCAGACGTAAAGGAACATGTTTATTTGGTATTACACACAACAAAAATCATATCATTTTTTTTCTGCCAAAATAACCACAATACGATTTGTTTGTTTTTTCGCATATAGTGCAGCCCTAAATATTATTATTAGTATGATTTGTTTGATCAGTAACTGTACAGTTTATGTCTTACAGAAATGCTGTTGTTTGCCTGCTAGTGTCATGGTTTACCATGGTGGACTTTTCTTGTTTGAATTTATGTTTGAATTTAGTGTTCTTTGTCTGACCTGAAACGAGACAAGAAGTGAGTATCAAAATAAAACAGGAAGTACGAGACAAAGAACACTAAATTCAAACATAAATTCAAACATAAAATGTCCACCATGGCAAACCATGACAGCTAGCTCCAACAGTTTGTACCCTAAATGTGCCAATAATAGTTACACCCTTTGACAGATGGCCTGTTGGCCTGTGCACGTTAACTCACATGGTTACCCACCACAACCACACACACTCGTATCAAATGCACCTACACACGGACACATAATCAACCCTCTGCCATTCACTTACCCCCTGATTTTTTTTTTTCTCTCTCTCTCTGCACTTTCAAAGGGAGTGAACCCACTGGAGACCCTCATCCCCTGAGTGTCATTAATGTATTTTTCATGGTGCTGCTGCTGACTTTTCCCCTTTTCCCTCCCTCCACTATGAGTCAACTGAGCCATCAGCCACACCTTGGTCAGCATTTTCTCTCAAAAAAACCAACACTGCTCAAGGGTAGGGTTTCACATGGCGCGTCACTGAAATGGAAGATTTGTTTGTGAGCAGAGCAAAGGCGGAAAGAGCAGGAAAAATGTTTTTTCTTTGAGTGAAAGGAGCTTTATTTGTCTGTGTTCTTTGTGGGTTTGATGTTATTCATTTGCTCAGTGTGGTTTCCTCTGGACAGAGTCAAATCTGTGTGTGTGTGTGTGTGTGTGTGTGTGTGTGCGCCTGTGTGCCTGTGTGTGTGTGTGTGTGTGTGCCTGTGTGTGTGCCTGTGTGTGTGTATGTCTGCCTGTCAGCGCCTTTGTTTGTTGATGTTTGTCACAATTTGCAGCACATACAGTAATACGGTTTGTCTGCCCTTCTGCACTCCAGGATATTCTTATGAGAAACTGAATAGAAACAAATCTGAAGCCTCGTTGATATGCAGTGTGCAGATGTTTATCATTTCTGATATATAACACCCCGTGTGTGAATTCTATTCTTCACTGTGTTTGCGTCTGCAGCAGATCGATGTGGTAGCCAGGCGACCTCTATGAACATATAGTGTATATAGGATGAGTACACAGTAGAGCATTGTGCTGTTGATGCCCATGGCAGCTTATATCAGCTCCAGTAATACGGAGCCTTTGTTGGGATAATTTGCCACAGTGAGGTGACAGCAGTGAGTTTTAGATAAACATTAAGCCAGATCCTCATATTCTGACCCCAAGGCTTGAGTGAGCAACACAGGCTGTCTGTTTAAGATCAATATTAATAAGATGTACTTGCCTTTAGGTTAGGTTTTATCATGGGTGAGCACTCTCTCGCTCTCTGCTGCTGTGACGAGTCATTTGTATTTCTTTTTGTTGTCATGTGCGTAAACACATGCAACCTATTTGCATGACTATGTCTCTGATGTGATCATTGTTATTTCTCAGTATTTGGCTGATACAAAAAGAAACTAATCTCCCTTCATCTTGCTTTTAGGATTGATTCGTAATGAATCATAGGTGTTGCAGATTTAGTTTTTCTTCTGGTGAACCCCCTTGTGTGTTGTTTCCTCTCCGGTCAGACATCATCGTGTTGATAGCGTCGGTGGCGGTGGTGTCAGCCGGCAGTCAGGGCAACATCTTTGCCACTTCGGTCCTGCGGAGCCTGCGTTTCCTGCAGATCCTACGTATGGTGCGGATGGATCGAAGAGGAGGCACCTGGAAGCTGCTGGGATCTGTGGTCTACGCACACAGCAAGGTAGGGGCGGGGGATTGGGGGGGGGGGGGGGGGCGGGTGTGTTGCGGCTCCTTGACTGGGTGACCTTCAGGTTGATATATCTGTAGATTATGTAGATGTAGCACTGTAGATATAGTACAGTTTGTGTACACTGCAGACTGATAATTTGATCCAGTATTAAAATTGTTAATGTCATGAACATAACCAGTTCGATGCTAGTTGAATTTCATTTTTCACAGAGGCTTGTAAATGTGGTTTTAGTAAATGCTTATTATGAATACATGTAAATTGGGTCATTAGAGAAATTGTATTACTGCAGCTTAATGTTGTTGTGTTGACTCAAACAATCATTAGTGGAGATGTATTATATTGTGAGGGGTTTCTAACATTATGTAGATAGGATACTCAAAACATTAAACACCTCCAAATACAATATGTAGTGTACATTACAGTACAGTATATCCACTTTGACTTTCTTTGAATATTTGGAAAATCTGTTGATCGCCTGGTCAGATTCACTTTATTAAGGGAGTCATGAGGTGTGTTTCCATCCACTTGTTTTTATGCACATTTTCAATTTGCTCATAAAAAAAAATGGAATGGAAACACTGGAAATGATAAAAAAATAGATCCTGAAATTATCGCAAAATGTTTTACACTCGTCTGACGTTATGAAATTGGTGTAAGCAAATATGAACATGAAGCATGTGACTGTGTTTGCTGAAGAGACTGAAAGCAGGAGCAAACAAAAAACATCAGATGTGTGCAGAGTGATAAGTTACATTCCTTCAATAAACATGAATATGCTGTATTTCCAACATGTTTTCTACATTGTTTTTCACTGTTTGAGATTTTGACGGCGCTCCTCTCTTCTCCTACTCCACTGGTCTTAATGCCACCAGTTTGTCTTTACAAACCAACTCCTGCTATTCGCATAACAACCATGGATGCACATTTTGTTGTGCTCCGCCTCAGTCGACCCATAACCCATACAAACCCACAAACTTCTTTTTACTTCTACCTCAGTTCGGTGTGACCCAGCGATGATGCGTGGATGAAGACTGAGGGGGTAGAGGGCGTGTTTAGCTTTCACTGCAGCAGAGCCCAGTGTCCAGTGGCTAGCATTAGCTGGAGCAGTAAGCAGTTGGGCTGGGTATTTACCCACAATAATCATCTGTGTGAAGAGCTGTGTAGTTTGGTGGTCAGCATGAGCCTTAAATGAGATCATATCCCAGCCCCAACCCAGCTGAACCTTACTGTCAGCCTCGTGTCCTGACCTGAGTCTACCTGCCCAGCCACTGTAGATGGAAAGTAATTAGTCTCTAAATCTGGTCCACAGCATCTCTTCCAAGTGAAGGCAAACTAATAAAACCATAGAAGCTGTGACCTGAGGCAGTTTTTGTTTTGTTTCATCCACTACTGACTGTTAGCTCACCAGACTAATGCAGCTGTAATGCAGTAATGCAGTAGTCTGTATCTCTGGGCTGTATATCTACCTACAACACATGATACCTGTTTGAATCAGAGATAAAATAAATGTTTTTAATAAATTAGATTTAAAAATAAACAAACCTGACCCTGGCCCAATAAGCCCCGAGCTTTAGGCAAGGCAAGTTTATTTATATACCACCGATCAGGCACAAGTGCTTTACAGAGGCATGGAGAAACACAACAAAGTGTCCTGACCCAACCCCAAACCTGATACTTGATCTGGTTTGCATTAATGACTTCATGTTCTTGCCTCGACATACATAATGAGCTCAATTTAAGTGTGATTCACTCCTGACATCATCATCTTAATACCAGTGGTGGAAAGTGACTAAATACATTTAGGCTATCAAGTCGTTAACTACAATTTTGAGGTACTTGAACTTGAGTGTTTCCATTTTAAACGACTTTATACTTACTATACTCCACCACAGTTCACAGTTACTCCACTACATCTGCTTGACAGCTTTAGTTAAAACAATATTTCAAGTTCATAAAATCCAACACAGTGGTTTCAAACCCTTTTGGTCTTAAAAAAAAAAAAAAGAAGCCATGTCTATGAGTTGTTAGCAGTTCCACCTAATAGTGATTTCTAACTCTAAACACACATGGTTTCATTAAAAACTAAGAGCAAATATTTGGCAGTGTCCAAAAAATTAACACAAGCTTGTGTAATAGAAGGGGGGAGGTGTTTTTCCTCTCCCATTAGTCATGGTATGAATCCTCAGATTTATGACCCTTTGGAGGAGAACCACTGAACTAAACTACCCAAAGTTGCTCCACCAGCTACAACTGTACAATTACACTTAAGTAGGACGTTTCATGCAGGACTTTTATTTGTAATGGTGAATTTTTACTTCGCTGTGTTGTTACTTTTACTTGAGTGAACCAATACTCGTCCCACAACTGTTTTTATAACAGGCATATAGGTAGAACAGGAGTTTTCTTCATCTACATCTGCTTTGTGATCAGAATAACTTTTCTATCTGCTGCTATTAATTCAGTGAAACATGACAAGAAGTTCCCATCTAATAACCTTAATGTTATATGTTCCTGCTCCTCTGCACTTTTGTATTTGGGTTTCTATGAATAGCTCCCACCCAGCGGATTTACAGTAAAACACAGATTCAATAACAGGTCATAACTTTCCCTTGTATCACCTTCTGTGTCCTCAGAGTTCACAGAAAAGCCGATTGAAGTTGCTCTACGGTGAACGTTCATATGCCAAAGTGGTTGTGCATCAACAAAATTCCCTTTTTTTTCCATGATCACACACTAATGGTCAGTTTTGAACTCTGCCTGCAGGAGCTGGTAACTGCCTGGTACATCGGCTTCCTGGTTCTCATCTTCTCTTCGTTCCTCGTTTACCTTGTTGAGAACAAGTTCAACAAGGAGTTTGCCACCTACGCTGATGCCTTGTGGTGGGGCACGGTGAGTTAGGAGGAATATGCTCTGCCTGCCAGGATTCAGTAAAGACTCATAATGGAAATGATGCACTGCTCGTAAAATGACTCAAAAAATCATAATGGTACCAAATGGCGGCATCCACCTTTGTCGTGCAGAGCAATCAGAGCCTGAATGACAGATAATGCAGTGTGGTAAACCTGACAAAACAGAGGGAGAGTTAGATAAATATATGTATAGATGGATAGGCAGATAGACACACAGACAAACACAGCACTGAACGCAATCAAGAGCCTTGCACGACGTGCCAGGTCCAGTTCACAGCCAGGTTTATTTGCCCCTGCCATTAAATAATGAACACACACTGCATTAAATGCTGCGTTCCGGCTTTTGCTGAACACATGTGGATGGCTCCATTCACTGGGAATATTTTCATGAGTTAAGTACAATCACTATGAATCATTATTGTAAAAATGGCCTCTCGTTGTGTCTTTACCAATCATGCTCATAGCGTCAACACATAAAGGACAACACAACCCACATACTGTGCTTCAGAAATCTTTTCAGTCAAGACAGAATAAACATTTGAGCCACAGGCTTTCATCTGTGACTGTAGAGCCAAGGCCAAACAGACCCACTCCTACAAAGCCTCCACATAGGTGTAATCACTAAGATGTGATTGCAGTGCCTGAAGGCATCTTTTCAAATCATGTCTCTGTGTGGCAAAATCAAGCAAAAAGCGAAAGGAACAACATGTAAATATAATGCAGTTATGCACATCAAGAGACGTTTCACCCAGAGTTGTTAAAGAAAAAGACAGAAAAGCAAGTACTGAAAATATTAGGTTAGTTAGACCAATCATAAATATTTTATAATTCACAAAAACACTAACAGATTAAGTTGAACCCACAGAGGTCTGCCACAGGTGCATCCAAATGAACCCTCTAAATGTTACTTCTATTTTTGCCTCGGGGCGCTTGTACCCTGATGTATCCATATTGATAGGTTCAGTTCAGTGGGCTTTTTTTGATACATCTGCCTGCACCTCAATAATACAGAAGTGAATTAAATTTTCTTTTTTCTACTCAAACAAATGAAAAAAAAAAACATTTAGAAACATATATTACTAAGGCACCATGCGTAAGCTAAATAATAAGTTGTAACTAATGACTTTCTAATGATAAATAACCAGGAACGCAATCAGAACGCAATCATTCCTAGTTTTTGATGCTCTGATGCCCTAACAAGCTATTCATTGACCAATAATAAGGTAATTACTGACAGTTTATGAAGCCCACATAAAGGGTGCCTTATGAGAAAGTGATGTATGTCTTTCAAGAAACAATATCCAGGTTGCACACAGTTTTCATTGGAACTACTTACCGCCACAGTATAGAGCATTTACTGTATTGACAAAGGAGCTTACATACAACTTGCACCATGGTTAATGTCATATATTTGTCCTGGTATTTCATTAATTTCTGAGGCATGTCAATATGGCAATCATTCAGGGCCTCATTATTCATTATCTGTGTTGACAGATCACCCTGACAACCATTGGCTATGGGGACAAGACACCAAAGACGTGGACAGGACGGATGCTCTCTGCAGGGTTCGCCCTCTTGGGCATCTCTTTCTTTGCCTTGCCAGCAGTGAGTCCAAACTCTTTAAGTGATTCCTTTCACTTTGCTTTTCAGAGAGTAAGAGAACTTATTAATCCTCTTCTGAAAGATCGCTTTCCGAATTACACAGCCAGACGGTTATTTAAGTTCATATTTTTTTGCCGATGTTTGATTGCAGGCCTGTGAGGCTCAACTAAAAATAATATATATTGTAAGGAGGTGAAATTTTACTAAGTTTAATATTTACTACTAAGTGAAAGGGTTTTGATATGACGATTGAAGTGACTCAACTGACTTTGTGTGATTCTAGCTTTAATTAAAGGTGCCCTGAGGAGTTTCTTACCTCCAGTGGCTTATTGAGTGATGTTGATGAGCAGTTGCACAACAGTGTATACACATACACATTCCTGCCAACAGTTTCACACTATTCCACTGATGGAGAGTTGTTGGCGATAACATGCCAAAAAAATCCTAGTAATATGCCAGCAAAAGGCAGGGAAGAAGAATGCTTGCCAATGTAAACATGGATCTGCACAATGCAGATTTCAAAATATTAAAAAAATCAACTTTGCAATTTTTCATGAGGAAGGAAATCCATTCAGTCACACAGATACAAGGTATTTTGATGAGAAACAGTGAATACAAACAGTTTTTATTTACGAGAAAACTCCACAGGGAACCTTTAATTTCTGCTTTAATCACATCAAAGTAGACTCATAGAATCTTCTCGTTAATCAAAAGCCTGAAAAAAAGAAGTAAATGTAAAAAGAATTCTACAGCATATAGTTCATTTTCAGTTGTGTATTTTTATCATTTATATTTTATTGTATAGCTTTCATAGTATATTTTGGGAAATAAACTGATTTCTTGCTGAGAGTGAGATGATGGGAGTAATGATTCTGCTCTCATGTTTGTACTAACTATGGAGCTAGAGCCAGGAAGTTATCTTCGTCGTTATTAGTTGTCTTAGCATAATGTTGAGCTAACCTGAAGGCGAGAGGAAACAGCTAGCAGCTGGCTCTGTCCAAAGTTAAAAAAAATAAACCTACCAGCACTTCACAAGGTCTCTGGTTAACATGTGGCATCTCATTTGTTTAATGCATATACAAACAGAAATGTAAACGTAAATGTGGTTTTAGGACTTAAATAGTGTAACTATTTCTTTCGTTCAACTGTGGAGTGTCTCTGTCTATTGCCTGGTAACCTCAAGGAGGCGACAACACTCCAGGAAGTCAGTGCTACTAGAGCATATAACCACAATCTTTTGTTTTTACATTGTTAGTGTATGAATTAAACAAATTAGATACAATGTGTTAATTTTTCACCTTTAGAGGTGTTGCTAGGTGTATTTTTTTTTAAACTTTGACAGAGGCAAGTTTCCCCCTGCTTTCAGACTTCATGCTAGCTAAGCTAATTGCCACCGGACTCAGGCCCTACTTAAAGCACAGCTATGAAAGCATATTCACTTTACAGCAGAAAAGCCATAGTCTAACAACATAGTCTAATAACAATAGCGTTGTGCGCGCATTGGTTGGCACAGTATTTACTACTCTGGAACTCCCAGTGGTGCTATACTAAACAGCACCACCTTAGCTACAATGCTAATGTTGCTAGCAGTAGATGACTATGTTTCACAGACTTGTACCAAACCTGATCATTGCATCTGCACGCTGATATTTTGCCAGACAAATATCTTTTTTGCCGAAATGTCAAACTATGCCTATGGAGGTTCTCATTAGAGTTACATCTTTCTCTGCAGCTCAGTGACACTTTACAGTCTTTGGCGTACGAATGTACCAGTATTTATTCCTGTTAATATCATACCAGGGTATTCTGGGCTCGGGCTTTGCCCTGAAGGTCCAAGAGCAGCACAGACAGAAGCACTTTGAGAAAAGGAGAAACCCAGCCGCCTACCTCATCCAGGTAAAGCACAGAGCCCCCTCCCTTCTATTTCTTTAGCACACATTGCCAGTTTTGGGCTGGAAAATAAAAATATTGTCGCTGATGTAGCGAAGAGAACTGAATATCTGCCTAATATAAAATGTGATTAAAAGCCTTAAATGATTTTATTATTCTCCAGTTTCTCTTTTTTTTCCATGGACTCTCCAAAAACCTACCCAATAAAAAGTACAGAGCCGGTAGCTTCACTCAGCCCTGTGCCCCCTCATCCTCACTTTGCAGTAGACTCTTTAATCTCTAGGAGGTTTTTTCACTCCTTTCATTCTCCTGTGTTTAAGCCCAAAAACACAAGTTTGGCAAACCCATTCTTGCCTCCCCCTCTTTTCTGCATCACACATTTCCATCTTTTCCAGCCTGATCTTCACACTCATTGTGTGTCATCCTGAATTTTAGTGGTGCTGATTTCATGTTGTCCTCCTCATATATTTCTCCATACACCTCCTTTTCTTCCCCTGCTCTCTCACCTACTTTCCTCCCACGCTTCACCACTTTCCTCCTCTTTGGCTTCCCCTCTCTCCCATCTTATGTTCCCATCTCACCCTCGTCCTGACCTCTACCTCCCCTTGTCTTCCCACCACCACCACCACCACCACCTCCTCCTCCTCCTCTTCTTCTTCATCCTGTCCGCCCCCATGTTGTACCAGGCTGCGTGGCGTTATTATTCCACCGACAGCACCAGGCCCTACCTGGACGCCACATGGCGGCACTATGAGAGCCTCCTGCCTTCCCACAGGCATGTATCCATGCCTGACCTCCGCTCAACCACAGACGTGTGAAACACCTGTTTTTTTGTTTTCACTAATCAGCTTTTTTTTATTTGTTTTCTATTCTCCTGATCTTCTCCCTCCTCTTCCTACTCTTCCTCCTTCCTTGGCTTTGTTTTTTTTTGTCTTTATTTTATTTTCTTTCCATTTATCTTTTTCTTTTGGGGTCTCCTCTTTGTACTTTTTTCTCCTTCCTGGTTTTGTGTATTCTGCATGCAGTGTGTTTGGCGTAGTTATGCGGCTGATGAGAACTCGGTTTCCATTGCTACCTGGAAGCCTCACTTGAAGGCGTTGCATACCTGCAGCCCTACAAAGTAGGTACAACTATGGCAGCTGGTGTCTGTATTTGGTGTTTATGCTCTCTAGCCATCTTTCCTTATAATTCAATTATGTACATTTCAAGTTACTATTCATCTTTTTTAAAGTCTGGTCTGTCTTATTGTTTAATGTATCTGCTTTTTTTCTCTTTATTGAACATATAAATGCATTAATTTTGATCATTTCTTTTTTCTTAATGGAAAATGGTTCACAGCCATCAGAAAGACTAATAATTTCCAGGCTCCGTTAATCTCAACTTGCTTGAATTAAGAAAAAACCGCTGACTTCAAAGACATCTCTAAAACCTTAAATTTTGCTATTATTATATAAATGAACATTTTATCCCTCAACACCATTCCCACTGGGTCAAGCTCTCTGTGTTTGACTACAGGCAGTTTGAGTGCTCAATGGACCTGGTAGTTTAACTGCTGTCACTTTGAGAGGCTGAGGCAGCAATTTTAGCATTCACCCTCTGTGATATATCTATTTATTACAGCAGTTGTGGCCTCAATGAGCCGATCAAGCTTTCTTTGAATTTGCAACACTTCAGTCTCCTTAAATTGGGCAGCCACTCAGCCCTAATGCCCTGAGTGATTTAGAGGTACAGTGCATATAATTCTGTTTGCCGTTAGCTTTGGCAGGTGGCATATCCATACATGGAGATACAGTATGGATCATTATAGAGGGGTTTCCCATGAACTAACAAATGAGAATGCACACACACGGAGGCAGAAAACTCATTGCCACAATGTTATGAGAGCTTACAGTATGTATGGACATTTTCACCATGTAGGCTGATTTCACATTTGTACTTTGATTTATTTAACTGGGACATTATCTTCATAATGTAGATTACTGTCAAAGAAGAAAGTGATTCTAAGCAATACTAGTATTGAACGACTGCATATCGACACCATGTTATGAATAATGACAAACAGACAGAGAGATGACAAAAAAAGAAGCTTCTTGTAAAGCAATATTCCAGGGGGTATTACTGTGGGATCTCTACGTTACTGATTTTTTTCAATGGACTTAATGCACCAGCACCAGCAACAACAACAGCTTTAACACAAGCCTAAACAAACAGCACTAACTGGGAAAAGACACCAGGGTTCGTTTTAGACAAAATAACCAGGTTAGGTGTGAAGGCACAGCAACCTGCTAGAAACCAGTCAAATTATAAACCGTTTAGAGGCCAGATATTCTTTCACCTCTAGCTCACTAACACGACACATGGAACCTGAAAAATCACACCTAGTAGTAGTAACATCACAAACCAAAACTACACAGTTAGCTGTAGCAGCTACTGAGAAATGGCATGTGTGTCGCACAGATTAAAAACAGAAAAGTCCTATTTACACAAGTAATGTTAGCATATATGAGATTCCTGCTGTTCGCCTGCTGCACAAGCTATTGCCACAGAACCTCACTCATTCTATATATTATAATAGTAACATCAGCATGTATGGATTTCCTGCTGTTTGCCATCTGAATTTACCAGACACTGGATGTATAACTGATGTGTTACCAGTGTCTGTGTAAAATGGACTGATCACATCTGCTGATGCACTCTCAGCTAACCAGGAGGTTTCCTTCCTGGTGTATTGAGCATTTTCCATACATTATTTTCGCAGTTCTTGCCGTTTATGGCAGAACTCCAACTTTGAATTCTGATCTCCCAGTTAAACACTCATTCAGGTTTGTTTTCGACCCCCGTGTGTATGTATATGACATACTGTAGCTCGGAAACCTGTACGGAGCCTGGAAATATTAGGAAAACCATCTGCAAGGCATATAGTGTACGGTTATGATCATAATGTATAAAACACACGCGCTGATTACAAAGACACTCCTTTAAATGATTAAGTGGCAAATCTTCAGTTACTTAGTCACTACCTTCTCTTTTTGCAAGTGCTTCCTTAGTTTGCCTGGACAGTCTGCATCGACCTGCATGTTTGTAGTGAGCCTGCTATTTGTTAAGGACTATTTCCCCTGGAATGCTTATTATTGATTGATGTGTAGCTGTCCTCCTCTGCACTTAAAAAAAAGCAACAGTTGCAGACAAAGCCCTTAATACATAAATCTTCCTATCATGCTGATATAAAGGACCATAGCAGTGTGTTTCCAGGTTTTAACTCCTTAATTACAAATCATGTAAACCTAACATGTGTGCCCAACATTTTTGAATAAACAACTTAAACAAGTTTCAAGAATTTGCTAACACATTTTTATATGCTACAAAAATAACCTGAAATTTCTCGAACACAGCAGAGTGGTTTTCTGTATGGTTAAACATCTACATGATTTGTAGTAAATGGGATAAAACCAGTCAGTATTATGAAAAGATGTTTTCTAATATATATATATATATTTTTCGTCTCATCACCCACAGGAAGGAGCAGGGAGAGTCAACTACAAGGTTTGTGACTTTTGTTGAACATTCACTGTCTTCCATGGTGTTGTAGCTGTGTAGGCCTGGGTACTTGACTGAAATGCACCTTTACATACATTATTTAACATAAACAAACTTAGATTTTATTTAGGCCTCATTAGTTAAAGGAAAGAAAATATCTTATTTTTGGCCTCCCCCAGCTCCTGTTATTGTCCAGCTCTTTAGCTGTTTCTTGTGGAACGCTGTTTTAAGGTTGATGAGACTGAAACAAACAATGAAGTTGCCCTGAAGCCGAAACATCAGCTGAAAGATGTTAAAATACAAAACAGCAGAGTCGGATAATGATGATGATGATGATGATGATGATGATGAGTTCATCACTATGAGCAATCACTGTATCATTACATCATCATTTTATATATATATATATATACAAATATTGATTAGTGTAGCTAAAAAGATGTAGCTATAAGATATAAGATAGCTAGCAAGATATCATAGAACCTTTATTTTGGTATCTGGATAGAAATTAAGATCTTGTATCTGCACTAATATCTAAAAATTTCAAACGATGCCCACACACCTGTTGCCCGACTGTTGTGTGAACTTCACTGTAACTGAGACAGTAAAGTCGCTCTAACTGGAAGGTTGTGAGTGATGAAATGTAGCCCCTGCTTACAGCCACTTTTACACTGGCACTTTCTATGACTCGTTGTTTTGTCTTTTCCTTTGATGTTTGGTGCTTTACCTTTCTCTTCTTATCACTTCTCCTCCCCAAAAACACACGTGTGCACATGCTGAGGCTCTCAAATACAAGCAATCATTCACACACACACACACACACACACACACACACACACACACACACACACACACACACACACACACACACACACACTTTTACATACACACACCGTCCCTCTTCTGTCAGGTATTTATTACACTTATAAATGACATTTCCTGTGACTCTGTGCTTTCATATGACCAATTTTTAAATGAAATCAGTGCTCCTGATGTTTGTCTTTGAGCTAATGCATTTTTAGCAACATCAGGGGAGGACAGCATGCGGGGCAGTGAGGGCTTAGTGATGTAATATGTTGTGTTTGCAGTTATGAAACACTGAGTAAATGTTTGTCTGCGAACCACCGCAGCAAACTGAAGCCAGTCGAGCTGTTTTTCCCTCGAGCCTGGTGTCGTATAGTATGAACTATACCACATTGCAGAGCAGAAGCCAAAGAATGTGAAAAGTCAATAAAGTAAATAACCAAACGAAGAGATGAGAGTCAGCCCAGAAATCATCCCACGCAATCTTGAGCATGTCTTAAGAGCGAGGGAGGAGAGCTCCACTCTCCACCTATGTTTTCCCCCGTTAACATCTCCACTGCAGAGCTGGAGAGATTAAAAGCCGCTCTGCACAGTCCGAGTGGAGCTGCCTTACTTTATTTATTAGCTAAATTTATTTATTAATTTTCAAAGTAATGCATCACCGAAGTGCAGTGATAAAAACCCAGCTATGGAGCGAAAAACAAGACCAAGGTCTGCATCTTAATACCCTGAGAGAACCCACAAGTGTCTGTCTAAAGGTTACTGGCCTCATGCTGGTGACTCAGGCACTTGTTGCCGTGGCCCAGCTGAATTCACACAGTTAAATGAGGGATATCGACATGAAGTGTGTGAGTCACTAAATTGCAGCCTTTTTCAAATGGTGCTGTGCTGTAGATGTTCATTTTCCTCGACTAAGCTCAATTGCCTCCGTTCTGCTGCTTCTAAATGTCAGTGGTGGACAAACTGAAATGCCAACAGAAACTCTGAAATATTACTTTATACTTCACAGCCTGCATACAGAAGGTCTGACCCAGGGATCATTGCATTTACATGTCAGGCATTTCATCCAGACTGACTCCATGCAACATAGAGTAAGAAATAAATAAGCAAGAAACAAATGGAGCAAAGAAAAAAAAAAGAAAAATGGGGCAAAGGGTTATAAGGTGGCAAATGCAATATCTCATCCACAAAACATTCAGAGGTTAACATTTTCTCTCCTCTAATTCTGCATCGTGTAACACATCACCATTTGTCTATCTCCCCTTGGTTTTTTAGTAAAATTCATAGTAATAAACAGAAGCTACTGAGGAGGTGTACCACTCGGAAACATAGGTACACAGCGTTTCTGCTCCCGTGTCACATGACATTTTTCTTTGGGAATGCTGACTAATTCTTGGTGCATGGGTATCTGTAGGAGGCTGTGCAGCCTCGGAGAGGGCAGAGCCAGTAAATCTAGCAGGGAGACATTAGTCGCCTTTATAGTAGCACACTATCTGCCTCTGTTTGATCTTTGCCTGAGTAATGCGCTACTTCTGCCTGTTGTGATTTTGGTTTTAACCACATTTACTCTAAGAACATTTGTGCCAGGTGTCAGTTTCTGTTAAATGATTGACATTTGTAAGATTTTTCATCAGAGACATGAAAATGAATTTGCGTTAAAGACTGTTGTTATGGTGGCGTTGCATCTAAACAACTCCTGTCACACTCCACTTCCCGCTTCCCTGATGCAAACTTTAGAATATCCCCTGCACTAGTTATGACATGTTGCTGTCACTCACACACACGTATCACATGTGTCTCTATAGACACAATAACTTTAACAGATAAGTCTGGTGATATTATATGTTTTTTATTTCCAACAAATCCAATGAAAAGACCAAAACTAGCAATGAATCAGTGAGTGAATCACACTGGGCAACATGTTCCTTCATTACCATGAACATGACAACTGTAATTTGTTTTGACTCAATCCCACATGCACCATCCTGCTGTTGTTAACACTCTCTAGTGTATGAATCTGCAGCTGAAAGTAGCTCAGTTTACAAATGCACCAATTTATACAAATACAAATGCACAATTTGTACCTTCTTTTTGAAACTACTGTATAGACTATGTGTGTGAACCAATTTACATTTTCAACAAGAACCAGTGGGAGCAGAGTCAGAGAGTACTGACAGACACATTTTTAGTTTTGGTCTTTGATTTGTTGACAGTAAGAGTAATAGAGGACAAACTATCACCTGCCCGATCCTTTGAAGTAGAACTGTACATGTTCAATCCAACATACAGGATAGAGGACCACTTCACTGACTGCATTTAGATTAGCCATGCCTGTTGCCTGTGCACTGCCTTTGCATGCAGTCGTTGCAGCTGCACAAACACATAATCATCCACCTCCTGACTTCTCATCGTCCTGGTCATTCACTTTCCACAAAGTAATTACCAATTATTTTCTTCCATTACTCCGCCCTGTCGTGACACTTTAACTAAGGTGCAATAAACCTTTTAAATGAAGATTTTCTGTTGTGTATGGTAAAGTGACATATGATATCAGAAAAATCAACTATAACAACATATAACCATTTGATACAACAATGTGACTGTTCCTGTAGGCAACATGCTCACTGACCGGTCACAGAGAACGAGATACTGTAGCTGTTATACAGTGGGTCCAAAAGTGGTCTCAGACTGTTGGACCCCACTGTAGATGCACACATCCAGGCACAACTCAAACACACAGCTGAAGCATCATACCTAACCCGAGCTTGCATTTTGTAATGCTTTAATGCTGCAATGCATGTTGGTCTTTCTCCATCTTGTGCTGCAGCTGTTCATCCTTGTATTGGTAGGTAAAGTTCTGGATGATGGTTTTCCATGTGGTTAAATCGTGCAAGGGAAATGCATTTTGCCAAAAGCTTTTGATAATTTATATTGTTGTTCTGAAACTTATATCATTAACAAATCTTTATCTGTCTGTCATTCCACCTCTTCACTACACCTCTCCCTTCTTATCCCTCTCACTCCAACTCGCCCTCGGGACCATTATTCATCCCAACTTCACTCCACAGCCAGAAGTTGAGCTTCAAGGAGCGGGTGAGGATGGCAAGCCCCCGAGGTCAGAGCATCAAGAACAGGCAGACGTCTTCTGTGAATGACCGGCGGTCACCGGTGGCTGAGGCCGGAACAGAAGGCACCAGCCCGGCTAAGGTACAGAAGAGCTGGAGCTTCAATGACCGCACGCGCTTCAGACCTTCACTCCGCCTTAAGAGCCAATCCCGCTCCACCACTGATGGTAAGTGACTCCGTCCTGCCGTTAAGAGTGAAGTAGAATTTATTGTCATTCTCTCCAATCACAGTACCTGGCACAATACTTCCATTGAATGAGATGATAAATAGTGTTTTGATGCATCTTAAGTGCAAAGAAATTCCAAAAATCATATTTGAAAATATCTTAAAGGAATTGTTCAAAATTTTGGTAAAATACATGTACTCAATATCTTGCTGAGAAGATCAATACCACTTATGTCTGTCCATTCACAAAAGACTGGAAGCAGGGAGGACTAGCTGTCTTAGCTCTGATTAAAGGTTAAAATATTCCACCTATAAGCACCTCTTAAACTCACCAATTAACATGCTGCTCTCGTTTGCTTTGTACAAGTTTGTCCAAGTGTATAAACCAGCTGGGCAAGCTGTTTCCTCTGCTCCCAGACTGTATGCTAGCTCAGGTAGCCCCTTCATGGCTGCAGCTTCATACTTAACAGCTAGAAATGAAAGTGGCATCAATCAAACTGTCAACAAGAACGCAATGGGTTTTTTTTATTTCAAAAATGTTGAACCATTCCTTTAAGTCCAAGCAGTTTCACTACATATATTGAAATGACGCTTATTGGCCGACCGTAAAACCCACCAGAACTGGTTTTACCCACTAATTCAAGCAGCCGAGTGGAGGAATGCTAATGGTTGCTTTCACTTCCTTTCTTTGGCCTAGCAGTGCCGGCCTGGCAGGCCCTCCTGGGTAACAGCCAGTTGGTGTTTGTGGGTTGAGTGGTGGATTGATGGAGGGTGGGGGTGTTTGAGCTCCAGCAGCCATATGGGGTGTCAGAGCCAGCCAGCTGGCTGTGGCCTGTTGGTGGAGAGGAATCAATGACCAAGCTAGCCAAAACCATACTGGTTGGCTGGTTTGCCACGCTCTATCTGATCGTTCACTGACTTGTTGAATGAGATGGTAGAGGATTGGAAATGTTTTCCTTTCATTATGGCTTAATTAGAAGTGAAATGAGAGGTGTTTTTAGTGGAAAATGTTTGTTATATTTAATGGAGGAAATTATTAATCAGCCCTGTTTAACATTTTCATCTGGTGACTCAAACCAAGTCTATTTCTGTCTTAATAATCAGCAGGTTTGACTTGGTGTATCACACAACACTTGAGCACATACATGCTGTGCACTATTAAGTGATACTTACCAAGGTAATTTGCAATATTTGGTTAAACAGAACAAGTAGCTACACTCTGCAGTCTGCAGGTGTTGTAACTCAGGAGGCCCATAAACAGAGCTGTCTTGTCACAAAGTTGCACTGTTAGCAATATATCTGCAGGCACACCAGAGGCCTGTTCTTTAGACAGCAGCTCAAAACTGTTTTTCTCTGTCAGTCTATCAGATCAGTCAACTTCATTCCAGTCAAATTCATTCAGTCTATTTGTTTGCCCTATTGAAACCTGATTAATCCCCAATATCAATGTTATCAGATCTTGAGAAAAATCATTTAACCTTTTTACTTAACAAAATTAAGAGTAACGCAGTTCATGCAGCTAGATTTCAGCTTTGCGACACCCTTAATTTAAGTTTCTTAAAGCAGCACTAACACATATAATATTATTACATAAAACCCAGATAGCAAAATAAATCTAGCCCACACTTGGGCCATATGCTTGATTTATTCTGGACCAGTATACACCCGGTTCTGCGGCCCAAATCCGGGCCATATACAGTGTGATTGTCAGATGCTATAGAAAATTTTCCAGCCAATACCAGAGGAAAACAGCCTGAATCTGCCCAGGTGTGGAAGGATATGGGCAGGGCTTGGGCTGAGGACCCAGGCATATGTTGGGCCAGAAGTTTCATTTTGTTAACTGGGAAGGGTTCGCTTGTAGTGATAAACCCATAGAGAATTATCATTTAGCATTAGCAAGGGTCTTCACACTCATTGTTTTGGTTTTCAGGCTCCCAGACTCATTCACCATCCTTATTCATCAAGTGAACACAAACACGACTCCAAATGAATGACTATGTGGCTCGTTGTGAGCTAGATGTGAATGGGCAACTGTTTGCCAACACATTCTCTCACCAGAAATCTAATAATGCAGCCCTAAAGTTTTCTTGAGCATCATATAACAATGCATAAGAAAGTGACATGGATTTATGAATTACATCTTTGCTTCTGGCAACAATTAGTTTAAATACTGAAATGCTGCTAAGATTGTGATTTGCAAGTGATACAATAATCAAGAAAGTTAAAACTTCCCTGTTCTACAACCATGCAGAGAAGATTGATAATAAAATCAGATGCTTCTTCGCAGGTAGGAGGATTCTCATAACTGACTGCATGTAAACTGGGGTTTTAGAGTAGTAAAGTCTCTGCCTCACAGTAATCTTTTTTTCCTGTAAAATGCTGTTGGTGACATAAATTGGTCTGCTCAAGGAACAAAATCTGAATCCTTTCTGTGTTCTCTCTCCTGAGCAGCAGACTCCAACATGACAGGGGAGGACGGCTTTGATGAGAAGGGTTGTCACTGTGAGATCTCGGTGGAGGACTTGCTGCCCTCAGTCAAGTCTGTCATCAGAGCTGTCAGGTGAGGCAAAGGAAACAAGATGTCCTCCATCAATCCATTTAATACTGTATTTTTCTGCTGCCAAGGTTGCATGCAAACAAACCTTGATTGTAACCCCCTGGCGCTCAGCAGCTCTCCTGATTGAATGAGCTCAGGGGATTAAAGTGACTGGAAGATGATTCTTTTATTTTTAGATCGTTTTTGGTGCATGTGATTGGATAAAATGTTGAGAGAGAGGTAATATGGTTAGTGGGAGCTTTATCACTGTGGAGCTATGTAAGGTGATCATGTCACAAGGACACAGTGTGTGTCTTAGTCAGACGCAGTTTTAACAGAAACTGTAAGTTTGGGTTGAACCTGTGAGAATGAAGTCATAAAGGTCCCATATATAAAGTGAGATTTCCATGTTTTTTTAAATTATAAAGCAGGTCTAGGTATACTGTGAAAGTATCAAAGTGCTCAGTCCACAGAAATGCACACAACCTGTATTCAGAAACTGAGCCTTAAAATGAGCCGTCAGGACTTCTGTAACTTTGTGATGTCACAACAAAGCAGTCACTGCTCTCAGCCATGCCCCAAGTCCCGCCCACCCAGACCCACCATCCAACCTTGCAGGATTTTGTTTCTCTGAGTGTTTACCTGAAATCTGCTTTATTTTAATGCAATCACTCAGAAAACAGTCAGCCAATTAGAAGAGAGGCTCAGAGCCTCCTCTCTTCTGATTGGCTCACTGACCTGCTCCAGAGAGAAGCTTGAGAGAGGATATGTAAAACTACATTGAGATGTTTTTGGTTCAAACCACAAATATATCTTCTTATGGATTAACACTTAAACTAAAACACAGGAAAAGTGTAAAATTTGGGACCTTTAAATAACTTTGAATTATGGTTTGACTGTTTGTTTTAGACAGTGTTCTTTTTTATGTGTGTTCGACTACTGAGATCACCTGAATTCATAGATTTCTGAAACAAGGCTTAAAGGTCGTCAAAAACCTATTTTTTCAGTCAGCTTTGTGAGTTTTGGTTATCTAATTAAAGAATTGTGTATTTTTTCTCTCTTTTCACTGGTTTGAAGTGGTTGTGGCTAGGTTGGAAAAAGGTGCTTTTGTCTAACAATCAGAATTTAGCAACATTTGAACAAAAACTTCTCCATCACAACAACATGACAATTATACTTTAGTTCATGAGGTTGATGATGCTCCTGTAGCTCCTGTCATCTAATGCATCTGAAGTCTGAAAAACTTAAAAGAGCTATTTATAAGTTTTGCTATTACTACATAGCCAACATTAGCATTTACAGCTGTTTACTTACCAGTCTAGAAGAATTTTGCAAGTTCAGCATCAAACTTTATTGCTTTATTCGCCAAGAGTTGTCTCCTGAGGTGGAAAGAAGCTCTCTTGTTTTTCTTCTGTTTCTATCAGTTCTTTTCTTCTACTAAAGTTAGCATGCTAACTAGCTAGCCCCAGCCTGGCCTCCCTGTCACATCACTTTTCAATACTGTAGCATCCGGTCTGCCCTGAAGAAGTAGCGCCACTCAGGGGATGTATTTTAATCTTTTGTATTGCAAACGCAACAATGGGTGAACCACTCTGCACAACTGGTAAGTAAACAGCTGTTAATGCTAACATCGACTATGTAGCGATAGCAACACTTACAAATAGCTCCTTTAACTTGTCCTAGTGACAGCAACCAGTCCATAGTTTGATTCAGCTGCATTCAAGAATTGTTTCCCTGCACTCTATTTTAAGGCTCAGTTTTATTGCTGTCTCTCCTTGCCGGCCCCTTCCTCCCGCCACAAGGACTCAAACTCTCAGCCAAATTCCCTTGAATTTAGCATTGAGGCTCCACAGTTGCAGAAATTCAGAATTTTTTTCACAGCAATAGTTTTACACACACACGCACACACACACACACACACACACACACACAGCAAAAAAAAAAAAAAAAGCCGGGGACTACCTCACTGGATGTTTTTCTAAGGTCCACTGAAGTGATTGCTCAGGTGTTGTGACTGTTTGCATTAGTGTGAAGGTAATGTTGTAGTTGGCATGCAGTGACACATTTTGTGCGCCTTTTTAAAACCCAGAAAAACAAAGGAAAGGTTTGCTGAGTTTTCATTAGCTGCAGTCTGTGAAATATTAAAGGTTGATGTAGTCACCACCAGTCATCTGTTCTGACTGCATCAGAGCTCCCCCTTGTGGCTGTTCTGTGAATTTCTCTGCCGTTCTGTGCAGGATTATGAAGTTCCATGTAGCCAAGAAAAAGTTTAAGGAGACGCTGCGTCCTTACGATGTGAAGGATGTGATTGAACAGTACTCGGCCGGTCACCTGGACATGCTGTGTCGCATCAAGAGCCTGCAGACCAGGTAGGAGTAACAACAGAGCACGCACACTCACACACAGCATGATGACATCATCCGCTGACAGTTTTCATTGCTGAAGTGTTTGCTGTCAAACTAAGGCTGTTTGACCACACTGTAACTGATTCATCTGTGTCTGTGTGTGTATGTGTGTGTATGTGTGTATGTGTATATGCATTTATGTGTGCACCCGCACTCATACCTTATAAATGCATGGGTATATATTACGCTAATGTGTGTCTGTTTGTTCTTTTACATTGTGTATCTGGCATATGTATATGTGTGTTTGTATGTGTGTGTGTGTGTGCATGTGTTTGCTTCCCTCACAGGCTGGACATGATTGTAGGCCCACAGCCCCTGAGCAGCAGAGCCAAGACCTTTTCCTCCCCCTCCCTCCCTTTCTATTACAGCCAGGGCAGAAAGAACTCCACTCAGGGGTCAGAATATGCCCCCTCCCCCCTCCACACCACCCCTCACATGTCACATGGGTTCAGTTCACTTCAGACAGTCAATTCAAGAGGTCGTTCGTCTTCAAAAATATGAAAACTGCAATTGTAGAACGTGTATGAAGTTTCTTCTTTGAACTGATTGAGGATAGAAGTGAAATGATCCCACAGCCTCTCCTCACACATCTCCATTGCTCCTTAACACGTCTGTCCTGGATGTGCAGTCATCTACTAACACTAACAAAACTCTACAATACATTGACTCTGGTTGTGGCTTTTCCTCTGATGAATTCTGGGACACTCACACAAAGTTGCAACCTGATGTTAACACAGATCATACAGAAACATAACATAACATATCATAACACACACACACACACACACACACACACACACACACACACACACACACACACACACACACACACAAACTAGATTCTCTAAGTGCAACTGTGACTTGTACCTGCCATCACTGTTGTAACAGCGCCCCCTGCTGTTGCCAATTGTTCATTGAAACTGCTGCATGCAGTTTATCTTATGCAGGAGGTGCTGAACAGACAGGAAGAGGCAGGTCTGGCAAAGTATAGAATTTTTTTGACAAAACATGTTACCAACAAACAGAGTTAATCTCACATCCAAAATGCACTAATTCAACCACATTACTTCATTCATATGTCAAGATCATCTCTCTGTATGTATTTGGCATAATGACTTCACAAAGATTCCACCGAGTGAGGTGGAAGGAAAAGTGACACCATCCACTGATCACTCATACAATTAAGTAAAACTTCTGGATCCAGCCTCACTTCCCCTCCTCCTGAAAGTCAAGCAGAAGTTTAGTTTCACTTTTACACTAGTATGTAAACATGGTAAAAGTTTTTTGTGGTGGTTGAGTTTGAGTGAGAAAATTCATGAATTTTGAAAGATGTGGTGATTGTATGCATTTTCTATCAAAGCAGTGATTCATTGTTGTGTTGACTGGGTGAACAGTTTTGAAAAAGTGAATTCAATATAGAGAAATGTGAGTTAGCAATTGTAGAAACCTGTAGTGGATTGAAATTGAGATTTATTTGTATTTTCTGTTGCTTATTTTCAGAAAATTTGGTTAAAATTTGTGTTGCATTTAGATGGAAATCACAAATCACCTTTTGAGATACCTGTTATGCCCATATCAAGGGGCAAACCACACCCATTCAAAGAAAGCACAAAAGCACATATTCAAGGAAAACACACATTTTCAGATGCAAGTCTGGTGGGTGTTGGAGGATCTTGTCAAAGCTTTTAACATTGATTTCTCAAAAACGTTGGCGCTGGTATAACTGCATGACAATGCCTTGGCTTACACCTGTCCTGATTAACAGACTTTATTAACCCGATTCTACTGAACCTCACTGGATTGAGCAGGGACAGTGTTTATGTAAGAGACAAAGACACTGAATTTGAATAATATGCTGTAAAACAGGCGGCACGGTGGGGCAGTGGTTAGCACTGTCGCCTCACAGCAAGAAGGTTCCGGGTTCGAGTCCCCGGCTTGGACGCGGGGTCTTTCTGTGTGGAGTTTGCATGTTCTCCCCGTGCCTGTGTGGGTTCTCTCCGGGTACTCCGGCTTCCTCCCACAGTCCAAAGACATGCAAATGGGGACTAGGCTGATTGGTTACTCCAAATTGACCATAGGTGTGACTGTGAGAGTGAATGGTTGTTTGTCTCTGTGTGCCCTGCGATGGACTGGCGACCTGTCCAGGGTGTACCCCGCCTCTCGCCCGAAAGGATGCTGGGATAGGCTCCAGCCCCCCCGCGACCCTAATAGAGGATAAGCGGTAGAAAATGGATGGATGGATGCTGTAAAACAAAAAGAATAGAAGATTCTACTCAAGTCAAGTCAAGAAACAGATTTAGTAACATATCATTATTATATGATTGGTAGTATTGTTTCATGTTGCATACACTACTTGTCAAATCCAGTGAGGAAGTGTAACCTGTCATTTGCTTGTACAGTATTTGTTGGAAAAGAAAGTGGGCTCATGGTAACTGTTGCTATTTCAATCTTCCTTCCTCTCTGTCGGCTGCCTCGTTGATTTCTACTTCGTCACTCTTTTTCTTTTTATCATTAATGTCTTATTGTGTTTGCATGTGCTTGTGTGTGTGTGTGTGTGTGTGTGTGTGTGTGTGTGTGTGTGTGTGTGTGTGTGTGTGTGTGTGTGTGTGTGTGTGTTCCAGAGTGGACCAAATCCTTGGGAAGGGCCAGATCCCTCTGGATAAGAAGATTCGAGAGAAGCTGCTGTCTGATGGCGATATATTAGAGGACATGAGCATGCTGGGTCGCGTCTGTAAGGTGGAGCGGCAGGTCAGTGTGTTGCTTCTCGTTTTATGTTTTGTTCTCTTATAGTGGTCCTCTCCTATTGAAGTGCAGCAGCCTATAACTGATAATTGAGACAAATAACATAAGCCAGTTAATTAAACTAGGCCTTTATAGTGAGGTAATATATCATAGTATCAGTATGCTAAAGACTGTAATAAGTTTTGGTATTAAATATAAGTGTTCAATCAATAAGTATTCAATCTTATGTGATTTCATGAGGATTTAAAGAGTCCAACACTTCAGTTTTCATTCCAAAACCTAAAGGAATTATGGGATATACGCTTATTTGCTTTCTTTCTAAATGTCACATGAGAAGATCAATGCTAATCCTGTGTGTGTACATTAAGTACAGAGCTGGAGTCACGACTTGGTTAGCCTAGCTTAGCATAAATACTCGAAACAGAGGTCCAACTCCATACTTTATGAGTACGACAATTTCGGTAACTTTGCTAAACTCTGCTCTTTTCGACTGTAATACTATGAATTTCTTCCAGGGGAGACTCTCTGATAATGTGCATTCCTCCTTACGCCACCAGCATATTGATTTAAAAGTTGTTATAATCACATACCAAACTTTACATAGTGGCTTTAAAATACCTTCCCTCCACACTAATTTGCTTTTCTTTCTGTCATATCTCTACACTCTATCTCTTTCCCTTTTCTCCTCACAGGTCCAGTCGATTGAGTCGAAGCTCGACTCCCTGCTCGACATATATCGGCAGGTTCTGCGTAAAGGCTCGTCTTCAGCCCTCACGCTCTCTTCTCTGCCCCTGTTTGAGCTGGAGCAGACCTCTGACTACAACTCCTCCGTCTTCAGCAAGGACTTGTCCTGCTCCACCCAGGTCAGCAGCGGTGGAGCGCCTCCCCCTGGTGGCTGTGTCACACACTCCACCGCCAACTCCCACCTTTCCCAGGGAGGACTCCACCTCATCCTGGCACCACCCAACGAGCTCAACCTCAATCTCAATGTCTCCTCTACCACATCTCCCTCAGGCCTTGCTTCCTCCTCTTTTAGTCCATCACCACTGCCCCATCATCATCATCACCACCATCACCATCATCATCCTCATCATCCCTACCATCATCATACCCAGGCTCAGGCCACCACGCCTGAAAGTGGAACTGATGAGGCCGTGGGGAGCTCCCCGCCCATCCTCACCCCAAATAGCATCAGCAGTGGAGTGGGCGGAGGAGTAGGAGACAGAGGCTTTCCTCTGCTGCCGAGGCTTCCACCACCACTCCCTCCCAGCCGAAGCGGTGGCCCAAGCAACTTGGTGCAAGTGACGTCCACAGAGGCATCCCCCGACATAGAGGACTTTTGTGGAGGTCTAGGGACAAAGATGGAGGACAGCAGTGTCAGGGATGACCTAGGCCTTGGGTTGGGGCTGGGAAGACTCAGGCAGCAGCTAAAGAGCAGCACCAACAGCAATGGCAGGCTAAACACTAAGGAGGAGGGCTCCTGGAGGAGGCATATGAGCCTGGAGCTGGAGCCCCTGGTGCCGCAAGCCCTGGGGTGCTGCTCTGGCCCCAGGCAGACGGACCGAGGCTTGGGCAAGTCCATGTCAGTGCAGGACCTGATGCAGGCACCTCCAGGGGCTGTCCAGGACTCCCACCACACCTACAGCCTGCCATCTCCAAGCCCCAGTACAAGCAGTGACTCCCCCATTGGCTTCCACAGCTGTAGCCAAGATCCTGGGGGAGGAGGGGGTGGTGGTGGTGTAGGCAGGAGTGGTGGAGGTGGATGGGGTGAGGAGGACCTCTTTATCAGTGACAGAGACATAGAGGCACAGGGATTTTGCTTCCTGTCACAGGGGACTGCTGAGGCCCACCACTACTCCTCTGAGCTCCTGAGGACGGGGGGCAGGGCAGGGTCCCGGGGCTCTAACCATAGCCCGGCCACTGCCCACCCATCCTCACCCCCTGCAGGCAGCACCGAATTGCTGAACATGCCGCACGTACGGCTAAAATAGACCCAGCTACAAATTTGGAAGGCACGCAAATCTCACCTCACAGAGACGGATTTTATCCTTTTTTGGATGGAGCGGGAGAGTGGGACTGTAACAAGGGGTACTTTTTTTTTCTTTTTTTTTTTTTTTTTTAATTTTGTTAATTTTCATTTGAACCATTTGATAAGAATCACAGTATTTTCATACAGGCTGATCACATGTCGTTGCACGAGTCACTCTTTGTTTTAAGTATGATTGACACATCTGAGATAAAGATGGGGCCTTGTAAAAGAACACAGAGAGAACACAGACCCTAAAAGCCTGTGAAACCAACTAAACTTGGCCCCGTTAAGACAGTTGGTTGATATATGACCTTGAGACACCGCATGAACACTGCATGTTTTCAGTCCTAGGTACTCAGAGTAGCAAGATACAGTTTACACAGAAGACATGAACACCTAACATCTAATATCGTTGTTTATTTACCTTTTTAGTGGCCTTTAATGAACACCATTTCCCATAAACTCTAAACATTCGCAGGCAAAATCTCACAGCTTAAAAGAAGAGGCAGGTCCAATGAGTGAGTTGAAGGGTCGCAGCAAGTTCAAACCATGGATGTAGTAACAGCAGGAGAGAGAGAGGAGTGGAAGCTGTAGAGGTTTTACACAGTAGAGAACTACAACATTGAAAGAATGAATTTAGAAGATAGCATTGGTGAGTTTTATGGATGGACAAAACCATCATCACAATGATGATGAAGTCCCTGTTTTAGCTTTTCATTTCAGGAGAGCTGTAGTCTTTTAACGTGACGTGCCAGATGGTTTGTCACACAGAACCGTCTGGGAAGACTTGTTTGGAAACTGTTTCAGGGCAGGAGCTTTCAAGAAATACTTTGTAGGTGATTAGATGAACTGTCTATCAGAAGCTAAACTCCAACCAGTCAGATTCTACACCGTTCCCATTTTTTTCTCTGCCACCAGAGCCAGTTGGTAAATCAAGCTCAACAATCAAGCAAGAAACATCTTCTCCATCGAGAGACTTCAATGGCGTTCTTTGGTCTTCTTTCAGTTCTTGGGATCGGGTTGGGTCAGTGAGGGCTAATTGCATATTGTGATTGGCCAGTGAGCCTAGTCCCAGCACACGCTCTCATACGCACCTCAAATGAAAGGCATACAGAGAGGACCAGCAAAGAGACGAACTATGGATTTTTTGATGGTCCACTGAGCCACCAATGCGGTGCGATGGCCAGTCCGACGGTGACAGGTCTGTTGTCAATGTGTTTGTGAGACAGAGAGAGCAGGGCAAGGAGTGCCTGAACGAATCAATGGGCTGCGCACAGCTCTGCTCTAATGAAATAAGATTTTAGCCATTTGGAATAGTTTTTTTTTTTTTTTTTTAAAAGAAAATCAATATGTGATGGTCTATGTTGATATTGTGGCAGGCAACCACAAATAAATCAATGTATGGGAAACTCTGCTCACTATTGCCAAATGTTTCATTCTCTGTTCTTGCCACTATACCTATTTTATTTCCAAAACATTTCAGAAAACCAAATTAACTCCTTATGTTTATATCCTAAAATAATACATCTCATTACTGTCCTCAACCGCTGACTTTGGTTGCCCCGAGTCTTTAAAAGGTACCACATCACAAAACAGTGAACATGCAAGTTTTAGCTCCTAAACTACAGTTCATTTATACTTTTGTTGACCATTCTTGAATGAGGGCAATATGTTTTCTGCTGTCTCCGGCATCCACTGGTTTTCATTCATTTCCATACAGTAAATCAATTAGCAGAGTAATTAGTAATAGTGAACGTCAGATCATTTTTGTCAGTTTTGCATTTCGGAGTATCGGAGTTTTGCAGTTTAAGCACAGATAGTTTTGTCAAGTGTCCTTCGCATTATGCCATAACAATCAAGTCATTAACAGAAATTAATTGAAACAAGTTTCTGCCAACAGATGTTTATATTACACTGCCAACAATGTCGGACAAATTTATGAAACGGCATGTGATTTGTAGTAAATACGCTAAAACATTTGGTCCTTTTTAGTTAAACTTTCAATTGGCGTATCTTATTTTGCTAAACATAATAACCTGTAACTACGGAGAACAGCAGGAAAGCCCAGACAGTCAGTGCTGCTGTAGCTGCCAAATATCTGGATGCTTACCGAAGCCACTTGTGCCAAGTCAGCTCCAGTATGAGGTGCATTATGTTGAAAGCACATGCACACATGTATACACCTGTATATGCACATGTAGAGATAAGAATGCCCATTACACGCACAGCTGTGCAGCTGTTACATTACATGTCCATTATGCTGTGGAGAATTTTAGGCACAGTCCAGAGGAGAGAACAGGAAGCAGCTGTTGCTTACTTCACACACCGATCGGTGTCCAGCTGACAACAGCCGAGGATTGAAACACATCTTGAATGTCATTTCTTGGTTTAAAGGACAGTTTATGTTAATTTGTCAGAATAGGAGTGTCTTATCAAAGCACTTCATATTGGTTCAGAATCAGACTCAATGAAAGAAACATTCAGAAATCTAACTTTGTATTACATTTAGCTTTTCACCACCGTTTCTACCTAAAAAGAAGGTATGTTATTTAAATTACAATCAATGTTTGCTTTTTTTGCTTTTTTTTTTTTACCTGTAATGTTGGATTATTTTTGCTTGCTGCAATGGAATGAAATGGACTCACTGCAGAATGTATTGCTTACTTCATTATTAATATGAGCAGAACATCTATTTCTCGAACTGCCGAGCAGTGACATCGAATAGACTAATGACCAACTTCCTCTCCCTGTTGCATGGTGAAGAATCAAGTGCATCAGGTAAGGTTAAGTGGTTTTCTCAAGTTGTAGGAAAATAATGACAGCACCACAAATGCAGGTAGATACTACTCATAAAGCATTCAAAGCCTCGCTGGTGAATTATCACCTGTAGCTAGCAGTAGATCAGTAAATTCTTAAGACTCTTAAAACCAGATTATATGAAGGAGGCCTGGGTCAGTTTGTTTTAAAGAAGTGGATTTTACTTTCCTTAAGATATTTAAATATACTTTGCATGAAGGGGTTGTCATATCCAAACCTATTTATACCTGAGAGTTAATGCCACATCATCAAGACAAATCACTATTTATGGTTCAAATTGACTGCAGTGAAAGTAAAACAGATCCCAGCTCTGCGGTCTAGTAAAAATCTGCAGTACATCAAGTATATTGGTGCCTTGCTTTTGTGGTACGTATTCATCTCCATATCTACAATTTCCTGAGAAGTACATTGGGTTCCTCTGAACAGAAATGGTTGCACTGTCTCCATTTTCTCTCCCTGTAAATGTTCCAACTTGAGGCATTATACAGTTTTCTTATTCAGCGAGCGTTTTGCTACAGGGCGTAAAACAGGCATTTGACATGTTACCATTCTCTCATTTCTTTTAATTTATTTAAATATGTGCACATATTTACACACCAGTAATAATCTGAGATTTATGAAGCCTGTAATGTAATGAAATGCAAGTGGACTTTTATTCTCATTCATCAATAAAGGAAATTCTACGAAGACTTTTTTCGCTTTCCTATTTTCTTTCACTGAAACTGATGCTTCCATTGTCTGGGACTCCGCAATGATAACAGGAACAAAGACATACTGTTTAAACATTACTTTATTACATTACTTTTATGAACATATGGTCACAAACAACAGTGATTAAGGTTAATGAACTTAACTGTAACATTCAACAGAGCTACTGCGAGGGAGCTTAAGTCAAGCAAAGTGCTAGGCATGAAGATTTCAGGTATCAGACAAAGAGTTTCTGAAGCTTGTTTCTCTAAGGTGCAAACAGGAACATGCAGCCAATCTACATCTGGCTAGTAAGTATATCTCTTAACGCTAGAACACAGAGCATTACTTCAACAAGGACCTGGCAAAAGACCGTCTCTGCCTTGTTACTGGTGCTAAGCCGTCAAGTTTGTTGGCCAGATCAATGAGCGGCTTGATTTTAACTACAACAGCACACAACCGGAGAGCTGTAACACGAATTTGTTGTTCTGCCACAAACTGCATGACAATAAGACCTACATATAACAGTGTTTCAACATGTTATTCACTAACTGTGTGGCAGTTATTTTTTTCCTTCGTCTGCTTTTGCGATGCATTGTGATAATAGCCCAGACACTGACTATGGTGTGCAGAAGGGGCGGGTTGCTAGTGTGTCTTCGGCCAAGGTGAGCGTTTGGGGCAGCAGCCCAGCACAACGTTCATTTGGCCTTCTGTGCCTTCTGTGCTGACTTGGTGATCTTACCGCTGGTGGGGGCTTTCTTTTCCACTCCCTTAATCACTCCCACTGCCACCGTCTGACGCATGTCACGGACTGCAAACCTCCCTGAGGAACCATCATGGAGAAAATATTTGTTATTCCTGATTATAATTTAAGTTCACAGCAAGATAGAGGTTAATGTTTGATTTTAATTCACACAATAAATAATACAGTAGTGTCACAGTTTGACCCACAAACAGAAATTCTGTAAACTCACCCAGGGGAGGGTACTCAGAGAAGCTCTCCACACACATGGGCTTGCCGGGGATCATGTCCACAATGGCAGCATCTCCAGACTTCAAGGACTTAGGGTTGTCCTCCAGCTTCTTACCAGAGCGACGGTCGATCTTTTCTTTCAGTTCAGCGAACTTGCATGCTATGTGTGCAGTGTGGCAGTCCAGCACGGGGGCATAGCCAGCACTGATCTGACCAGGATGGTTCAGGATAATCACCTGGAGGACACCAGAGACAGGTAGGGGCACATGCAGAACCACAGACTCATGAACATGCATATTTTATGCAGCAGTGATGTGAACATTTAGAATCCCTTTCAAAACTAAGTCCTGTTTGTAAACCTGAGAGGTGAAGCTGGCTGCCTCCTGTGGTGGGTCAGTCCTGCTGTCCCCAGCCACGTTGCCACGGCGAATATCCTTGACAGACACGTTCTTGACATTGAAGCCTACATTGTCACCAGGTAGCGCCTCAGTCAGGGCCTCGTGGTGCATCTCCACAGACTTAACCTCGGTGGTCACGTTGACAGGAGCAAAGGTCACCACCATGCCCGGTTTTAAGATTCCAGTCTCTACTCGGCCCACAGGTACAGTACCAATACCTGGCACAGAGGAATTATTAACTTTACTGTCTGTACTGACAACTCTCTGTAAAACAACTGCATGAATAGACTGATTCTTTCAGGTTCAGATACATGAGTACAAAACGGGACAGACGCTCATTATAGGACATAATAACCCAGTGGGAATTATTTCAAGACCTCATTCAGCTCTGCTCTTTTTGTCACAATGTGCTCTCATTCGCTAAAAACTCTCACCACTGGTGCCACTGACACTTTAAAAGGACTTGATAATTGGAGCACTTATAACTTTTGTTTGTCCTCCCAACCACAAATCAAACAGCCATCACATTTACAGGCACCCACACCAACGCTGTCCTCACCTCCAATCTTGTAGACGTCCTGCAGAGGCAGGCGGAGGGGCTTGTCGGTGGGGCGGGTCGGAGGCTGGATGGCATCCAGTGCCTCCAGCAGTGTAGTGCCTGAGGCATTACCGTCTTTACGGTTGATCTTCCAGCCCTTGAACCAGCTCATCTGTGGAAGGAGAGATGCTCAGTTTTACCTCAGCAGCTGCTACTTAGGATGCAAAAGTGATGTGTGTATTTGAGGTTATGCATATGCAAAAACTTACTTTTATTAATTAGATTTAGAAATGGAATCATAATGAAGATGTACCCTAATATAAAAACTGAGGTCGGTGTATACAGTACTGTCTGGGAATACCATGCGTATTTGTTATGATACAAATATACAATATCATACCCAGAGAATAATACATGTTAAGGCTCTCACAGCAGACTCACATTGGGGCTGGGTTCCAACATGTTGTCTCCATTCCAACCAGAGATGGGCACAAAGGCCACAGTGTCAGGGTTGTAGCCAATCTTCTTGATGTAAGTGCTGACTTCCTTCACAATCTCCTCGTACCGCTTCTGGCTGTAGTTGGGCTCAGTGGAATCCATTTTGTTGATGCCCACAATGAGCTGCTTCACTCCCAGGGTGTAGGCAAGGAGGGCGTGCTCACGAGTCTGCCCGTTTTTAGAGATGCCAGCTTCAAACTCGCCCACGCCTGCAGCCACGATCAGCACAGCACAGTCAGCCTGAAAAGGGCGAGGAGAAGGAGATGTGAAAAAGTCCTTCAACCAATCTGAGTTTTCCTCCTCCAGTACCTTTGTCTCTCCGTCAAGCATTTCATCGTTTACTATGGTTCTCCCTACTCTCCCTCTACCTGAGAAGTCCCAGTGATCATGTTCTTGATGAAGTCCCTGTGTCCTGGAGCATCAATGATGGTGACGTAGTACTTGCTGGTCTCAAACTTCCAAAGAGAGATATCGATGGTGATGCCACGCTCACGCTCTGCCTTCAGCTTGTCCAGAACCCAGGCATATTTGAAGGAACCTTTTCCCATCTAGGGGATGTGGAGAGGAAAGTAAGAAAAGGACGTGTAACTTTTACTTTATATGATTTTTTTCAAAGCTATATAATACCATTGCTGATTTTTCATGCAACACAATCAAACTCTAAATAAACTTGTATGTACATAAAGGACAACTCTATAATACTTCCTTGTATGACTACTGGAGAAAGGACGTTAATGGAGACTAAGATAATGAAAACATGTAAGTCATATATCTCAGAACTTGCATTACATTTACCTCATAGCAACCATAAGAGGAACCTAAAAGCTTTGACATTCAGTATCAGAACTGTACAGTCATAATATTTGTTAAGTAATACATGACCTACACATAAATATTTATGATTACTTGTTGTATTGTCTACTCCAAATTCTACTACATACACCCAAACTTTCCATGTTGTATTTTCAACTTTTGTGTGCTGTAGGTCTGCTAGCAATGAATAATGCAAACTATGACCCAAAATATAGGATTGCTTGTAATTTAGAGAAAGTAGCCGCAGGCTATCTAGTCCACATATTAAGCTAAATTTATTAATGTTAATATTAATGAGTCATACCTCAGCAGCTTCCTTCTCAAACTTCTCAATTGTTCTCTTGTCAATGCCTCCACACTTGTAGATGAGGTGGCCGGTGGTGGTGGACTTGCCTGAGTCGACATGTCCTATCACCACAATGTTTATGTGGAGCTTCTCCTTCCCCATAGCAGCTCACCCTGAAAGATACTGAGAAAATCCAGCAAGCAAGAATCAACAACATCCAGTAAATGAGACAAGGTTAATGAAAAAATGTAATAAATAGTAGCCCTCTGCTCAGATCAAAGCGACACCACTGTCTTCATATTGAGATTGTGACCATCCAAACCTAGTACAGAGAAAGCACAAATGTTGGTGAGTATCACGCTACAAACCAATATAATTACACAAGGGAGACCTTATGGCACTGGTTCATACTAAACAATTTTTCACTGCTTTATTGGATGAGCATCTTTTAGTTTCTATGTATTTATTTTAGTCTCTATCCTAATCTTGCACTATTTTATTTAATAGATAAATGTAGTGTGTGTTTTCAAGTATTCCTTCTACATTTGCACCGTAATCGTGTGCAATAAAGTGAAAAAATTCAAATGAAGTTAACAGATTAGCCTAATACTCGAATAGTTCCCCAACTAACCCGCTAGCTTTGGTTATGTTTATATTTCCTTTAAAATTTAATTTAATAAGTATGTAAACGCTATAGCTACATAACGTTAGCTAATTTTGAATAATTTTAACATGAGTAATGCTAATGTTAAGCAAAATTGGCAAATTGAAAAATTTGGATTCCGTTCTCATGATTTTTATTATGTATTTTATTTTCAAAAAATGTGATTTTTTTTCTACGTTGTAATATTTTATACAGAGGCATGTCATCAAATGATATAGTGCTAAAGGGCCTGTCCAGCTCCTTACCGTCTACCTCCTGTAGATAGTTCAGTTAGTGACTTAGCTAATCGATAAAGCTCGCGACTCTGGTTGAGTGTTGCGTCACTCTCCGACAGTGGCACGCGCCCACGTGCCTGCGCACAGCTCAGTCAGCACGATTATAACCTGCAGCTGACCGAACTTTTTTCACAGGGCTCTGTTTCTGTTGACTGTATCATGAACATCACACTGCTTGTCCTTGGAGCAAATTTAGGTCTGGCGAGTGGGGAGGGGAAATGAGAAAAAAAAAACAACTGTTATCTCAGCCTGTTTAGGGGCTGTGTTCACTTCACCAGAAACTAAACGAAATGTTTTTGTTTGTTCGCATTTTCAAAGGCAACCCCATACTACACAGTAACATCACAGGATGGCAGCCCATTGCACCTGCTAATTTTATGACTATTTGATTGATATGTGACTTTGACATGAATGATCACGTAAAAAAACAATTTCAGTTTAGCTGCATCTCCAAACAAACAGCGTATAATATAAATGTCAGTAAAGGACATCTATGTGAGACAATGCCGCAATTAATAAACATGCAAAGACGATTACTCTGCAGAGTTGAGGGCGTTTTAGAAATGTCTGCATGTCTCAGCATCCCTCTTTACAGACGGATACACAGCAGTTTTGATTTTACTGTGGCAGCAGGATTATGATGGATACAGAAGATTCCTGCATGACCGTCAAGTGGAATATTTCTCCGCTGAAACTGCGCCATACAGGCCTAGTCTGCAAAAGCAGCCGGCTATGGTACCAATCCACACCCCTCTGTACTTTTTGGCACAGCTCGGCTTACTCAAATTACCATGACATCAAAGCCACGCAGCATGCAACTATCAGTTTCGACTCTTAGTATAATTGGACTAACATAACAGCTTTTACAAACGTCCCCTGAAATCATCAGCTCTCTGCAACACGTCTAACAAAGCATTGATGAATCCTATGTTATTGTGTCACACTGGAAAACAACCCATCGCCTACCTTTCCTTCAGATGTGGGTTCACTGGTTCACTGCGATGGCACAGGAGATGCTGCCTGATGCGCTGCACTGACACAGACGCAGCCAAGGTATGGCTATGTCAAGTGGCGTCAAACGCGTCATTTGCTGAAATGCCGAGGGTTGGCCACTAGATGGAGTGCTGATATAACGAAGAGAAGAACCAGCGCCTCACAGCATGGACGAGAAGGAAACTAGTTTATTTGGTTGTCACTGATAAGACATATTATTTCAAGTTCTGCATTACATCCACAAATAGGCTATGGCATATACAAGAATACTGTAGGTGTAGGCACATATTTTAATATGAGTAGATAAATCACAACATCAACTATTCATACAATCATTTGTCTTTCACTTTGTGCACTTTATATTGTTGCTACAATAAGCACTGAAATCCAAGGACCTTCCCACCATCAATGTGGTCTAAAACATGTGAGCCAATTTTTGTCCTTATGTCTGCTTTCTGTCTGTCTCCTCAGTCGGCTGAGACACTGGAAAATAAGAAAAAGATTGAAAAATTAAAAACACTTTTCAGAACTGGCAGTCACTTTAGACTGGAGAGAAACAAATACAGATATATTAACCTATTTTACTATAATAACTAAGGTCCGGGACAAAAGGAACAGAATTGAGACAGGAACATGCAAGCAGTTAAGCAGTTTTTAAACCGATGTCCATCAATATCTGTACTCACTCTATTGTATGTAATGAGTATTTCTGGTTCTTTGTTAGTTTCATAAGCTGTCCGACGTCTGAGTCCTCCAGGCTGTTGCCCATCACATGCAGCTCTGCCAGATGTCGGGGATTTGACTTCAGGGCAGTGGTCAGGAACTGAATGCTCCACGGGCTCAGGCCACAGGTCCGCAGTCTGGAGGGAAAGTGTTTGAGATGTTCCTGAACACCAGCTCATTTTAGCTCTATAATATGTCCACAACTGGGGTTGCATTTGGAGATATCCTAACTGAGTTGCAGTCAATGTAACATTTGGTTTGTATAATTAACTAGTGTTAAATTAGTGAGACACTTAAGATAAGAAAATCGATCATAATTGGCGTCTGTCATATAGAGGCTGTTCTATGGGACCATATTGAACCTCAACACATTTTTGGTAACAGCCAGAATGTCTCTGTGGCTCTGTAGTATTATCAGCTGTGAAGCATCAAATCTCTGTTCAGTTGTGAATCAGTGTCAACATATTCGCTGAGCAGATACATCCTGATTTTAATCACATCTTTGCCAATTTAAGACAGTATTATATATACCACATTCTTGTACAGCTACTGTTGTTTACAGTGTGTAACAATGAGAGCTTCAGCTTTCGCTAAATGTAAAAAAAAGCATTTTGTAGAAAAGACATGTTTAAAAGTAAGGTGTCAAAAAATAGATTATTCTGGAATCTGTATTACAGCTCTGGCATCCAACCAGCACAAGTATGAAAATATTTCAAATTATACCCACTCTACTTTTCAGATGTGTTGATTTTGTCATTGTCACGTGTGGTGGGATGGAGGTTTATTCACGCAAATATGAGACAACGACAAACGTGAATGCACGAGTAAATAGAACTGACCATTACATTAGGCTCAGTGTGTTTTAACACATTTGTATTTCGAATTTTCCATAGAGAAGCATAGAACTACTGTTTATGTTGTGTATGTTCAGTAGCCCTGTCCCAGCTGATCCTGGCACTTGATCAGGGTGGTTAACTCTGACTCTTTGCTACATACAGTTGATACACAGTTGACACTAGGGATGAGCATTTTCAGTAATTTCAATATTCATGTATTACCGAGTACTCGATTACTCGCAAATTTTATATAGTATATATACATATATATATATTTTATTTTTATTTTATTTATTTATTTATTTATTCATTCATTCATTTTTTTCAACCATAAAAAAAAGAAATACGGGAGGTCCGTGTTCAACTGGAAACACAAGTGGAATGTTAAGCTTGTGTTTCCAGTCGGACACGGACCTCCCCGTCCAAGCCTACTGTTTGGCTGTCAGAGAACATGATATGCAAGTTTAACACCACATATCTTGAACTGCAAGTTATTGTCGTCTTTCTTATCTAAGCAGACATCACTTTTCCTGGTCACGGCTGCCATGGTGCACTTAACACCAACTGAGATGAACAGATCCAGCGCCACATGATCATTCATCTGAAATGTTTCTGACCACACTTACACTTGACTCTGGTTTAGGTCTCAACCAACTCCTGAGAAAAATTTCTGTGTTTTCAGCAGCTAAATGTTCAAGTTTGCTCACCAGCTAGTTGCTAACTTTGCCATTTGGTGCTGATCAGGTACAGAACAGTAGGTAATGAGAGTGAACCAGAACAGTAGAGTTGCAGGGTGGATAGATAAACAATGAGCTGAATCCTCACTGTGGGACTAATAAAGGAATATCTTATCTAAATATTTGGACACACTATTGGGTCCAATGTAGATGATGCTGCACAAGCTGTCAGGAGTCATGTTATGGTAAATACTAATAAAGTAACTTAATAAGTTACTTTTAGTAAGAACACTCACTATATGGCTTTTAGTTATCTGGACCCATGTTTTGACTGAAAATAAACTTTTATGTGGAGGAGTTATTTCTTTGAGAATCAACATAAATAAATGCATGAATAACTTACGATAGCTTCTGGAGTTTGCAATGAGGGCTTCTGAGTCCCATGCAGAGTTTCCTTACTCCCTTGTCTTGAAGGTCATTGCCAGACAGGTCCAGCTCATTGATGATGCTCTCCTTGGACCCAAATCCCAATGCAAGCTCTGCACAGCAGTCATCAGTCAGGCTGCAGTGGCTCAGACTGAATGAATGAAACAAAGACTGTATTATAGCATACTGTTCTTCCAACAAAACTACAAAGATACTGTAATGAAGAATTCTGTTTGGAAAATTATTCACTTGAGACTTTTCAGGTGGCTGTAGGGATTCTTCAGTCCGGCTGAAATTTCCCTGACTCCCTTGTCTCCAAGGCAGTTCATGCTGAGGTCAAGCTCTCTCAGCTCCACTGCCTGCAAGTCTGTGTTTGGCATCCTCCCACTGCAGCGCTGCGAGACTGAACACAGGACCTTTGCCAAACAAATGCATCCAAAGCCAGTGATTCCACATCTTGCAACACTAAGGGGAAATAAGACAAAATGTCATTAAGCAAGTGGTTTAGGCCTATTAAGTGCATGTTACACAAGCAGTTATAGCAGAGTGCTGCAGGAAAAAATAACTGAGGTTGGCAGTGAAAAATGAAATTCTCCTTCCATAGTATCTTTATTTCAGTCATCAAACGGTATTATGGCATCCTTACTTGAGTTTTTCCAGACTGCACCATGCGTACATGCCTTCGCACATGAGCGCAAACCCTGCATCTTTCAAGTTGTTGCTGCTCAAGTTGAGTTCCACCAGAGTGCTGGCTTCAGACTTCAGAGCTTCACCGATACTTGCACAGCTTAACTCGGTGAGGCTGCAGTGGTACATCCTGCCAAAAAAGAGGTGAACAAATACAAAATGTCACTACATAGCTGATTTCTATTCACATATGCTGACAAGCAGAGCTGAACGTATTTACATCAAGTCATACTCACTCCAGCTTTCTCAGCTGTGATATATCGAACTTTCTAAAGAGCTTGTTGGCACCCTTGTCGCCGACCAAATTGATGCTCAGATCCAACACTGTCAGGTGGTCGGGGTTCCTCTGCAGAGCTGACGCTAGATAGTAGCAGCCCTTCTGCTGAATGTTGCACTGTGATAGTCTGCGATGACAAAAATGACATAGCAATAGAAATGCCAAATATGTAGAACAAAGATTTTTAAAAAGCCAACTGTCTGTAATCAACACATTTAGTTTGCATTGCGGTTTTTGATTCCTTTGCTTTGTACACAATTCTTAAACTTTAGTATCCTGTCCTTATGTGAAAATAAACATAGTCAACCACTAAAATGTGGATTCATTATCATTTTTTTTTTTTTTTTTTCATTTAGTATGAAGAAAAAGGGAGTGAATATCTAAGTTTATTTCGCAACACTTACTTGAGTGTTTCTATCAGGCAGTCATGAGATCTCAGACCATTGCAAAGACATCCTAGTCCTAAATCTCCTATCTCATTCCTGCTGAGATCCAGCTCCTGCAGTCTCCGGGATTGGGTCAGGAATGTGGCCAAGTATTCACAGGCTTTTGCAGTCACTCCACAGCCTTGCAACCGGAGAACTTTCAGTCTGCAGTATTGATCATTCAGCCCCTCCACAAGCATCCCGACTCCATGTTCACTGATGCTGTTGTATCCCAGGTCCAGCTCCCTCAGGTATGACTCTCTTGTGCTCAGGACTGCTGCCAAGGCTCGACAACACTTGTCTGTCAGGTTAGAGAATCGCAGCCTGCAAGGGAGGGGAGTTAATGATACAGGACAAATTACGCACAAATTAAAGGATAGGGCCGCCAATACTTTCATTGGTCAACAAATCACATGGAAAGAATTGATCCTGTATGTGTATATTTAATCCTCTGTGCCATAGACCAATGTTATTATCCAAAAACTATTAAAACACATCAATTAGCCACACTGTTACACCGGCTGACCTTCCTTACTTTGAACATGGGCACTGTAATTTATTTTGAGTCAATCCCACATAAACTGTCCTCCTGATGCTGTAAATGCTCACTAGAGCACCAAGCTACTACTATGCAGCTGAAAATAGTCCACAACAAATGCAGTATTTACTCATTAAAAACAAGAGAGTCCAGCTGTTTTAGGAAATTACTGAGCCTTTAAAAAAAAAAAAAAAAAAAAACTATATATTCATGACCCATTTTTAAAAAATGTACATCTTCAGGAGAGACTAATATATTTGAGTCTTAGTGCCATAGACAGGAGAGGGAAGTCTGAAACTACTGAGATGGGCTAATATATTGTTGGTTTTGGTCTATGTGTTGATATTAAGAAAAATAAAGAATACCAAGATTAAACAATACAGAGTACAGTGGCCCGTGTTCTTTTATTTTGGCGCTGTCTTCCAGCACATGTAAAACAATGACTGAGAAGTAGTAGAAGTGT